CAGAGTTGTGCAGTAAAGTATTATTAAACCTCCATCTCAGTGCACGCTTTTTCATTGGGAATATTTGAAATTGACAAAGATTGGGATTATAATCAGATAGAATGGCCGGGAATGTTTTTATAAATTCCATGTTACCTGTAATATCAATAGATGTTAAAACATAGTCAATTTTTGAGAAAGTCTTAAATCTAGCAGAAAAACATGTATAATCCTTAGTTGTGGGATTATGAAATCTCCAACAGTCATTAAGATTAAGATCTTTAAGAAATTGTTTAAGTGCATTGGAAGCATTCACATGTGATGAGCTATGAGAAGGTCCAGATCTATCCATACGTAAAAATGTATGCACACATGACTGTAAGTCGCTTTGGATAAAAGCGTCTGCTAAATGGCATATTATATTATTATCTAGTTTAGAATCAATAATGACATTCATGTCAGTTCCAATAATAAGCATATAATCCGATAAATTGAGTAGGCTTCTGGTTACAGAAGGGAGAAAATCTTTGTCACATGAGTTAGGAGCATAAATATATACAAATGTAAGTAAATCTGCCCTGTTTATCATTTCCACTTCTTTCAATTATAAGGGGTAGATTGCATTTATGTATTATAAGCACCCCCTTAGATTTAGATGTAAAGCAGGAAGCAGCTGCCAGTTTGTAGTATTTGTTTTGAAGTCTACGGACATCACCCTCTAAAAGATGTGTATCTTGCAATAGAGCAATGTCAAATATATTCCTATATAATACGTCAAGACATTTAATTTGCTTATTTGGCTCATTAGAACCCCCCAGATTACAGTAAATGATCACTAAATTAGCCATGATCCATCTGTGGTGATGTGAACACCAGTTTGATGGATAAAGAGGGAGAAGAGTAACTTATGATAGCTATAAAATGACTATTCAGTTGCCAACTAAATAATTGTAAACCAGATATTCCAGAAAAAAAACAGTAAACATATCCATTGTTGGTTAAAATGATATATAAAATTACAAAACCCAGATTGCCATTCCACCCCAATAACCCTGCAAAATGTATCAAAACAATTAAAACAAAGAATCCCTCTCCTCCCTGACAGGTTAGGACACAACAGTCCTCCCTCTCCACTCAATGCAAACACTTGAATGGTAAATATGATGTTCGTATATACGGGCCCACTGAAATACCACGCAGGGCAGTCAGAGAACTGAGCTTTTGTTATAAGTTCTTCTTTAAATACTCTGACAGAGATAGTTCCTGCTCCCTGCTGAGCCTGTCAGAGTAGAGGCTGGGTGTGGTTTAAACTTACCCAACCTATCGATGGCGCACAGGCTGGTCCCAGCCCCTTGGCGCTTCACTGTTGCCGGGCATTAGTTGTTATCTTTACAACTTGTCTCGAGTCAGCAACCTCAGACATAGTTTGTTCTTCTTTGTAGCAGAACACATGTCCTTGAGCGGTTTAACAAAGAGGCAGTGTGTGTGTGTGAATCACAAGTCTGTCTCAGCCTACCCCCTAACGGTTCCTCACATTAATCACAGCTTGTTATGTTAAACAATCTATATCAGTACAGCACTAACCTATTATGTTTAATCATTAATGTATTCTTTCTAAGATAGGCATCACATCTAGTTATAAGAAAATAGAACCCCACAATAATGATCACAAGTAATTAGATAAAATGTTCCTCAAAACTCCTTGGAGTTGTGGATAAATCCTCTTGACCAGCTCACTTATTCCATAGCTTCCCCGGTGCTTGCATGGCCCCGTTGTTGAGCCTTCCTCCTCACAATCTGGCCGTGATTGGGAGTCCCATAGGGCGGCACACAATTGGCCCAGCGTCGTCCGGGTTTGGCCGGGGTAGGCAGTCATTGTAAATAATAATTTGTTCTTAACTGACTTGCCTAGTTAAATAAAGGTTAAATACATTTTAAAAAACAGGACCAGCGGTGTGGTCACTGCGGCACTCGTGGTTGTCCTCTCCCAGTGATGCCAGGCACTCGTGGTTGTCCTCTCCCAGTGATGCCAGGCACTCGTGGTTGTCCTCTCCCAGTGATGCCAGGCACTCCTCGGCGTCTTGTGCTGTGGTGAATGACAGGCGCTCTCCCCCGGAGCGTTGCTGGATAGACGAGGAATGACTGGATGCCCCTCAGTCTGAGTTTGTTCCAGACCTCGTTGAAGACTTTGCGGTGTTGGGAGGTGTGCCTGCTGTAGTCAGGGAAAAACCACAGTACCTTACCAGCGTGGTGAATGAGTTCTGCTGCTCTGGCTCCTTGTAGATTGGCTTGGCGGTCGTGGTACCAGAGGACCTTGAAGATCGGCGTCCTCGGTCTGTCTGAGGCATTACTAGTCCCAGGTCCTGAGTAATTGCGATGGGATCATTCTCTGTAGGAATTCGACGGGGTCGTCAGTCTAGTCTCCTTCTTTTAAATAAATTAATCTTACATTTGAGCGACGTTAACGGTCCTCCATTTCAGTCATTTTGAGCTGCATCTTCTCCAGTTGTGAAGAACAGTTGATTTTCCATTTGCTTTCCCTATTTTCACTTTGCAGATTGTCCACTTTAGTAGACAGATTGTCAATCACTTTCATCCTTCTCTCAACGTCGATTGTAAGAGCTTCAACAGCCGCTAAAGTATCTTGATGTTTTCTATTGAATGGTTCCACCGCCTCAGCTAACACCAGTTGTAGCATATCTTTGAGAGAGTTTTGTTGCTTGGCTAACGCCTCAGAAATCGCGCCAGATATGAAGGCCTCAGTTTCAGTGCTGAGGGCAATCTTCTGACGCTTAACTATAGGGGAAAAAGTCGGAGAAGTGCCGTTTTTCTTGCCTCCTTGGGTAGTCGGGAGGCCCCAAGTGCATGTATTTTTTATCGACAAAGAAGAAAGTTGCATTCAGAATAGATTTAGACAATTTCGGTAAATTCTTCAACATAAGCAATATATTTGGTACTTCTCAACATGTTCAATAAGACACTTTACCTACCCAATTGTTGACATAATCTGATAGCTACAGACAGGGCCGGCTTTATGGGTACCACCTAGGGGCCTGGCCCGCCCTACCGTACCTCCTTGCCCGTCCAAATAAAATATTGAAATATTTATCATTTATTTGACTGAGAGGCGAGCCGACAGAATGACGCCTCAATCTCAGATAAAGCATCCGAGCGAGCGAAACAGCGCCCCTCTGTCTCCGTATGTGTAGACTATGTATCTGATGCTGTCTGGACAAAAGGAGTATGGCATGTCATACTTTTTCTGTCCAGACAGCATCAGATACACGGCCTACATATAGTAAGACAGAGGAGCGCTGTTTCACTCGCTAGTTTCAGCAGGAGGAAGAGGCGAAGCGAGTGGGCTCACTCATGCCAAAATCTATCCTGAACAAACCCAATGCGTTTCTATGGGCATAATATGCAGACCGAAGCTTGTTGCCTGCATTCCCGCCGTTGGGACAATGACTCTGACTGTTAGGGTGGAGACATGATCACGTCATAATATAGGCCTACAGAGCTCTGGTTTCAGCATATTACTATTGATTTCACTACCCACTTCGTATTCATGCAGTCCATTATTACCTCTTCTTTTACTTCTAACGTTACCACTTGTTATTTTTGACTTGACTCTTTTCATTGATATTATTGATTATTGATGAATGTACTGCATTGAAGGAGCTAGCACATAAGGATTTTGCTGCACCTTTTACCCTCGCTGTAAACTGTGTATGTGATGAATAGATTAGATTTCATAGGCTTCATGTAGCCTGTAGAGGTGTTGTTAGCAAAGATTTCAGCTTCTAATAGGCGAAAAAAATCACTTTGGCTGTGTAATGGCGGAAGGCTACTTTACTAGCCTACTTTGCTAGGCCAGCTTCTACCCACCTTCACAATCATCGAATCATTGTGTAGACCATTCAACTGATCAATGGAGAGTCAACCATTCGTTTAATCAGTGTTGCTGGTTGACCTATGCCAGTCTCCAGGACCAGATCACCTGGAGTTATGCCGCGTTCACGTGCTAGTTGGAACCAGGAAACTCAGACATTTTCAACATGCTATCTGGTTGAACTGTATAAAAGCCCCTTAGATATTTTAATTTAATGAGATCTAGAAGGACATTTTATTGATCTGCCAGTATTTTCATTTAGAGATTCCGGTAAACTCGTTGATGTTTAATCTCATGTGTCCTACCAATTATTATTGGATTATTCACCATGGCAAACCAAATTTATTTCTCAGTTCTGTTGGCTTTCGTGGAGATCAGACCGTTTTCATTTGCAGGGATATTTGTATGTTTTTGACCAAATGTAAGTCAGAACAAATACTTATTTCACTTTTATAATATTCCTGTTGTTATTGTTATATGTAAATACAAGAAATGTGTATGTAGAGGGGTAACTTTCTTCACCAGTTCTCTTACCAATTTGCACAATTATGTAAAAAGCCTACCAGTTGGTGTAACTGCAATGGTAATTCTCGTGAGAGGAATTATGGTGTGTTCATTTTCTCTTACTGTAAATTGTGTATAGAGATTGCTGACATTACTGTTAAATGTAATATTGTTTATTGGATTCACATTGTAGTAATTTTCTATTTATTTTATCCTGTTTCCCTCTGTACACAGACCACATGTATACTCTGTTTCATCTCCTAGACTGGGCTTCTGTGTCTGTCATCACTCTTTGACCAGAGTGCAGTCCGGTATCCGTTTACTCCCAGTGGCCTATCCACACATTAGAGAGCACCAGACTCCGTTTGAATAACTACAGTTTCCTAGTTCCGACTAGCACGTGAACGCGGCATAACTCACCTTGCTGGCCCGCCCTTTCGCCATTCACGCAGTTGAAAATCCAGAAAATGGTTGTGAACTGCACACAGCAAATTGATTGACACCCACAGTGCAAATGGATTGACTGGTGTATGACACCATAAGGACACATGACTTCAGGTGATCAACAAAATAATTTGTAGCCTACTGACCATGTCATAAATTGTGATCACCAAGTAAAACAAGGACATATGTTTGTGATAATAATGTGACATTTCAGTTTAATTTAAAGTATTTTGCATAGGCCTACATATATAGGATAAACATCATGTCTCAAAGTTAGGTAAGTTAACTGTCTGGGTCATCTGCATGCACAGATGTGGGATGCACCAGCAAACTGGATCACTGTGTTCAAGTGCTGCAGCCAGAAGTCTCAAGCTCATTCAGGAATGTCGCCTGTTCTCCCCCAGATTCAAATTCTTCCAGCCATGTGTTTCCCGACAGGATATAAGAATAACTTAGAAACAACAGAAATGGTTTAATCAAACAAATCATTCATAAAAAATGAACTGTGGCATGTAATGTAAGAAACAAATCAAACAGATACATTTGAACAATTGCAAATTGTGATCCTAACCTGCCATCATCATCCAGTATTATGTCTTTTGGCTTGGCGATTAATAAATACAATTTATCCTTCTTCAAACCAAGAGACGTCTGGCACATGCGGTGGGCATAGAAATCTCTCTCCGTTTTATCAACCACTTTTAAATCATTTCCTGTAAGACAGCATAAGCAAATAAATTCATATTCATCCATTACATGATTCCTCTATCACTCTCTTTTTACTTCTTTTTTTTCAGAGGCAACACAAATAATGATTTTGGGAAAATACTGTAGTATTTACCAAGTTTATAGGCCTTTTGAATCTCCATTTTATATTTGGTCAGGGTGGTCTCATCCTCTTCAATATGTTTTACTTGAATTTTGTAAACTGCAGATGGAAAACAGGGTGAATATCAGTGGGTTTGACCAAATATCTTTTGGTAAACATACATCTGTGGCTATCCCTCAATTGTATTGTAGGTATAGTCATGGCCGCGGGAAGATGTATAGGGGTGGGGGGTGGTGCTGCTGTTGAGAATGTTGTTCTCCCTGCGCTGTTGACGGATATTTAGGTACACTCACACAGGACTAGTAAAGGCCCAGTGTACTACTTTTGTAAAAAAAAGTAGTACACTGGGCCTTTATAAATGATTGTGATTAATCAGGGGGTGCTGCAGCACCCTCAGCACCCCTACTTCCCGTGGCTATGGGTGTAGTATGTGTCAGAAGTGTTTATTGAAAGTCAGAGAAATTTGAGTGCCGTTTTACCAGGGTTAGTCCCAACGCAGGCTTCCTCTTCACGGTCAGAAGCTGTTAAAGACTCAGTCTTCTTCACGGAGGGACAATTTTCTGTCAGATAAAATGAAGGTTGGAAACAATGTTTGGGTGATAACAATAGAGTTGCCCAATGCTGAAGAGAACCGATAAGCAGGCAACATAAAAGTAAAGCTTAGGCAGATATGCTAAACACGAAGTGAAAACATAGTACATGTGCATACTACAAAAGCAAAATAATCACCATTGTGAAATTTATTAAACTATAAAAATAATGAATGGCTTCATTTTTGTTGTTGTTGTAGTAATGATTTATGTTGCAAATTTACTATGTACAGTTGTAAAGCTAAGCAATGGCCACTCAATAGTTATCTTAAAGTAGATCCCTGAATCCCTGAAATATCCAGCAATATACAGTTGCGGTATGAAGCAAGCGTCTTACTGTCAATGCACGCACACCCATTCTTGCTGCAGATAACGTCCTCGTCTGTGCTATTCTTAAAGGGGCTGTAGAAATCGGTGCAGCTCTTCTCTGAAACACAGAGGAATATCATTCTGTGAATATTGTTAGGGTTCCATATCTGTTGCTGAGCTGTACGACTATAAGTGAAAGCGTCTTATTAAAGCTACAATATGTAACTTTTTGGGTGACCCAACCAAATTCAGTTTTGTACACCAGCTTCAAACAGTTGAAAATACAATATTTGTGGTTATGTAAAATATATTTCACAGAGGTTTAGATGGTATAATGATTCTCTACACTATACTTACATATTTTGTCACATAAACAGAAATTAGGCAAACTATTAGAATTTTAACAACCACGAAATGGCAGAGCGATTTCTGCATAGTGCACCTTTAATAATTGTACAGTCTAAATTTTACATCAGACTCAAATGACACATTGATGCTGTAAATAAAGATTTTTTACATAAATTCCAGGTGACGCAAAAGTCCCCTATCAGTGCAGTGGAAAGTAGCCGCACATACCAGGTTTTTGACTGGTGGGGCACACAGTCAACTTAGTGTTTTTATAAAAAGTGGGAATATAAAGATACATAAGTGGTTGGACACAAGCACTTTAAATAGAAATTGAGAGCATTTTTTAAAACTGTTTTGTTGAACTCCCAAACCAATGGTGGGCCGAACCAAGGACAACCTTGAAAGGATCTTACCTGATTCGTAATAGGAATACACCTTCACTGAAGAAGGCTGTAGGAGGCGCACAGTAAATTCTTGATACAGAGTCACTGGTACGCAGTAATCAGAGTTAGGACTAGGAGATAGCTGAAGAGAATGGAAAAAAATACATACACTGACTGTACAAAATATTAAGAACACCTTCCTAATATTGTCTCAAGGCTTAAAAATCATTCTTTAACCTGTCTCCTCCCCTTCGTCTACACTGACTGAAGTGAATTTAACAAGTGACATCAATAAGGGATCATAGCTTTCACCTGGATTCACCTGGGCAGTCTGTCATGGAAAGAGCAGGCGTTCATAATGTTTTGTACACTCAGTGTATTGGCTATGGTTTTCGCCTGATCAGTTCACATGGTCAGGAAAAACTTGTCTTACCTTTGGGCCCAGTGTTTTTCCTGGTCAAGTAACCTGTACCTTCCAACCTGCACGCCAATACATCACATTTTTACATACATAATGCTCTATGGCGCTTTCTTAGTGTAAAGCCCTACTATCTGGGGAACAACCTGTTTTTACTGCAAGTCTGGGACAAAATAATAAAAGGCTTGAGGCCAGCTCCAAAGAGTCACTCTAATTCAGAGATGGTAAAGGTTTGTTGTTGTAACGCAGGTTGTTTTAAAAAGAAGGAAGGAATATTAAAAAAAATTTTTTTTATCTAACTTAGAATGCCCCTTACTCTCTACCTCTGCCAGTGTTCTCAATAGGTTTCCCAATTACTTACATCGTATATGTGAATAATGAGAGATCCTTTATCAGAAAGCTCCTTGTCCAGTTTGTAGAAGTGAATCAGCTTGTCCTTGCGAGCCATCAACTACAAACACAGAAAAATATGGAATGTTCTGTAGCTCAGGGTTCCATGATCAATTAGTGAAGGAGTGCATCCTTTTATTGTATATACTGTAGATACTAAACGTGAAAAGGATTCTTTCTATATACTGCTACTTTGTTTTGATGACTGTACCTCATTAAGACTTGTATAGTCAGGCACAAAACCTGAAGGAAGAGATACATCCAGAATGGCCATCTTGTTGGAGGTCCCTTCAAGAGGCCTACATTTAGAGCGAGAGATACATATTTAATATGTTAATTAAAGATCTTACACACCACCAACACTACTGCAAATACATCTACATACAGTACTTCTATACCTATCAGTCACTTCCAAAACTTCTACCACAATACATACTGTAAGCATGTGCACAAGGGAACAACAAGGGAACATCTGAGATCCTCAAATATCTGTGTTATCTCAATCTATGAGAGGTTTCCTATATGTTGTATGTAGCTGCAGATAAATGTGTATTTATGTAGTTTTCCTCTCTACTGTCTGCAAACATAACAGGATCATATCATTCACATGTACATGCATGTACACTACCAGTCAAAAGATTGGACACACCTACTCTTTCCAGAGTTTTTCTTTATTTTTACTATTTTCTACATTGTAGAATAATAGTGAAGACATCAAAACTATGAAATAACACATATGGAATCTTGTAGTAACCAAAAAAGTGTTAAACAAATCAAAATGTATTTTATATTTGAGGATCTTCAAAGTAGCCTCCCTTTGCTTTGTTGACAGCTTTGCACAATCTTGGCATTCTCTCAACCAGCTTCGTGAGGTAGTCACCTGGAATGCATTTCAATTAACAGGTGTGCCTTGTTAAAAGTTAATTAGTTGTGATGTGACAAGGCAGGGGTGTTATACAGAAGATAGCCCTATTTGGTAAAAGACCAAGTCCATATTATGGCAAGAACAGCTCAAATAAGCAAAGAGAAACGACAGTCCATCATTACTTTAAGACATGAACGTCAGTCAATACGGAAAATGTCAAGAACTTTGAAAGTTTCTTCAAGTGCAGTCGCAAAAACCATCAAGCGCTATGATGAAACTGGCTCTCATGAGGACGGCCACAGGAAAGGAAGACCCAGAGTTACCTCTGCTGCAGAGGATAAGTTCATTAGAGTTACCAGCCTCAGAAATTGCAGCCCAAATAAATGCTTCACAGAGTTCAAGTAACAGACACATCTCAACATCAACTGTTCAGAGCAGACTGTGTGAATCAGGCCTTCATGGTCGAATTGCTGCAAAGAAACCACTACTAAAGGACACTAATAAGAAGAAGAGACTTGCTTGGGCCAAGAAACATGAACAATGGGAATTAGACCAGTGGAAATCTGTCCTTTGGTCTGATAAGTCCAAATGTGAGATTTTTGGTTCCAACCACCGTCTCTTTGTGAGACGCAGAGTAGGTGAACGGATGATCTCTACATGTGTTGTTCCCACGTGAAGCATGGAGGAGGAGCTGTGATGGTGCTTTGCTGGTGACACTGTCAGGGATTTATTTAGAATTCAAGGCACACTTAACCAGCATGGCTACCACAGCATTCTGCAGCGATATGCCATCCCATCTGGTTTGCGCTTAGTGGGACTATCATTTGTTTTTCAACAGGACAATGACCCAACACACCTCCAGGCTGTGTAAGGGCTATTTGACCAAGAAGGAGAGTGATGGAGTGCTGCATCAGATGACCTGGCCTCCACAATCACCTGACCCCAACCCAATTGAGATGGTTTGGGATGAGTTGGACCGCAGAGTGAAGGAAAAGCAGCCAACAAGTGCTCAGCATATGTGGGAACTCCTTCAAGACTGTTGGAAAAGCATTCCAGGTGAAGCTGGTTGAGAGAAAGCCAAGCGTGTGCAAAGCTGTCATCAAGGCAAAGGGTGGCTACTTTGAAGAATCTAAAATATATTTTGATTTGTTTAACACTTTTTTGGTTACTACACAATTCCATATGTGTTATTTCATTGTTTTGATGTCTTCACTATTATTCTACAATGTAGAAAATAGTAAAAATAAAGAAAAACCCTTGAATGAGTAGGTGTGTCCAAACTTTTGACTGGTACTGTATACTGTAACTTCCCTTAGTTCTCACCTAACACATATGGTCAGTTTGTAGACACCGATAACACCGTCTAGAGCCTTTGGGTCATCTGAAAGACACAGAGCAGTTACATCCAAAATGCACTGGCAAAAAAGGGTTGTAAGTAAAATATATGATCAAAGAACAGCGATAACATAAAGACACTTGGACAAAATGGGTTGAGTAAATCTTTCTTCAGAAAAACTGGAACATACTGATCTTTTCTATTGAATGGCTCATTTGAAATCCTTTGCAAACTGACTGCTCTTTCACAAGCCTGGCGTAGTATGTCGTCAGGACCTGAAAAGAGCAGAATGATGAAGGTATCAGAATTCTTACAGTATGTCGTAGATATCATTTTATAATGAGTATGGGAAGAATATTCAAACACATTGATCATATTAGTATACTACATTAACTGAAATGTTTATTGTGCACAAATATCCAAATACAGCTGGAATGATCCACATACCTTTAATGTTGCTTTCCCTGACCCCTTTGCTTCAAAAGTGAAATCCGTCAGCTGTGGTATCTGCAGTAATCAAGTGCATATAAAATAAAGCCACTAGAATGCAAAAGCCACTACACCATATTTGCCTGTGTTGTTCAAATTGGTTTGCTAGTCCAATGTAACTCACCCTTTCAGATCGTGACAGAAACCTGAAGCTCTGGTCTAAATTCCATTTGATAGAGCTGCTTTGGGCCGTGCGGACAGGGCTGCTGACAGACAGGCTTACACTCATATTATTACCCGGGGGGGTGGGCATCTGTTTCTGGAACAGAGAAAGGGCCTGGAACACCACTATGGTGCACTAGAGAGAGAAACATGAAGCAAGTAAGGGGGACAGAAGGGAGTGGGGTGGGGATGAGGGAGACAGGAGCGTAAACCATTGAAATGACAGACTACGTTTACTTTCATGAGTAGTACCATTTTCTGTCCATATTGTGTTGTTACCTGTGTGTTTCCAAATTGGCCATTTGTTCGACCCTTGGCCACAAGCCAGTCACTCACAGCCTCTGCTCTCTTAAGCTCACCCAGTGTCACGAGGGCCAAAAGTGCATATCCTGTTGCCTCCACCCCTTTATTATCATTTCCACCCCAATGAGTGCCCTCTGAGGAAAGATGGATAGAGAGAGGTACAGGGTGAAAGTCTGATAGATACAGAAAAAAGAACTAACAGAGAGAGATTTAGTGTCAAAGAAATAAGAATTTGACTCATTAGGATCCCTGTTAGCCGATGCCAATGGCGACAGCTAGTCTTACTGGGGTCCGACACATAACAAAAAAGACATTACAGACAAAATACTAATATCTAATAAGAATAATATTCCTAATATCGACCTGCACCCTGTTTTGCCCTTAGAACAGCCTCAATTCGACGGGGCATGGACTACAAGGTGTCGAAAGCGTTCTATAGGAATGCTGGCCCATGTTGACTCCAATGCTTCCCATGGTTGTGTCAAGTTGGCTGGATGTACTTGGGTGGTGGACCATTCTTGATACACACTGGAAACTGTTGAGCCTGAAAAGCCCAGCAGCGTTGCAGATCTAGACACACTCAAACCAGTGCACCTGGCACCTACTACCATACCCCATTCAGGGGCACTTAAATATTTTGTCTTGCCCATTCAAAAATCCTACACTGATTGAAATGGATTTAACAAGTGACAGCAATAAGGGATCATAGCTTTCACCTGGATTCACCTGGTCAGTCTATGTAATGTAAAGAGCAGGTATTCTTAATGTTTTGTACACTCAGTGTATTTGAGAGAACACAGTAAAATGGCTTTAAGAGATAACTGGGGAAACAATGGATGAAAGAAACACAACAACATTAGCACTGAAAAGATTACCTGTGCTTGTTCTATCTAATTCTTTTAAGAGTTTATCTTTCCATTCATCTTTTTTAGTCAGTGCCAGGGCATAGGAAGATATGGCTACAGAGTAGGAACTGGATTGAGCGGGAAGTGCATTCAATAAGTAATCTGAGGCTTTCTTCATGGCTCCATCTAGGCCCTATGAGAAACACACACACACAGGAGAAGAGTGACACCATAATGAGACAAATAATTGACACCATAATGAGACAAATAATTTGTTAACAGTTTGACCTCTTAATATTAACACTGTAACAATAACCACAATTCCATACTCTATGCAGAATAGTGGTCCACATTACTGAGCAGCACACTAGTCTTCACTGATGCTACCGTATACCCAACTAGTACAGCTTAGCCTCAATTGTCCACTGCAGAAAAAAACGGATCTAATTTTTTGCTAATTAAGTCAAAACGTAGGCTACTGAAACCATCAACAATGCATCCCTTTAAAGGTATTTATCTGAATTTACCGTGACTCTATCCTGACAGATCCCGAGGGTCTCTTGCATGGCAATCAGAACAAATGCAGTTGTTGCCACATCTCCTTCCTGATCTATCCCGCCCTGAGTGGAGATTGAGGAACAGATTTTAGTGAAGGAAATTATAGCTTTGAACATAGTACAATATTTTTGAACCAACTTGTGCTTACATAACCTGAAATATACAGATGGCTACAGGAAAAATAGTACATTTAAAAGGGATTTACCAAATATGTTTTTATTGACATAGTTTTAAGTTTAATATTTATAACAGTGGACAAAAAGTATAAATGAGACTTTACTGTGAGCCTCCAACTTTTGATTGGAGCACCTTCTTTAAAAATTCCTGCAGAGTTCTGTTTTTTTACAAGGAACTCCAAAGGTTTGCACACTCTCATATCCTCCACGTTCCCAAACTCATGCACCATTACAAACACCTTGGCAGTGTAAGCTGTCACCCTGGGGACCAAGACACAGTGATGTCTATTCTGGAGCCTGACAAGTCATATCATACAGGAAGTCTGATGTAAGCAGTCCTGTGTGGCTCAGTTGGTAAGAACTAAATTGTATTCTATGAACATTCTTAAAATAGTGTAGTTTTAAAATGTGATTATCCATAGGGTTGATTTTCATTACTTTAAGAATCTAAAAGGCCCAGTGGGAGGAGACTGAGATTGATGAGTAACTGATCAATTCACTTACCATGTGCTTGGTGTTTGGCCCCCTTTGTATGGAGGATATGTGTCATCAGAGTTTCTGTAACCAAGGTGATTTTCATAGCCTATTGAAAACAACAACATGAGAGAGTGGGGGAGAAATTTAGAGAAAGAGAGGAAGTGAAAAGGACATTTGATCATATGTGATAGAATTAAAAGTGCCTTAATAATTATGAAATAATAATACAGAATCATAATGTGTACCAGTAAGTAATAAGCTATTCATTTATCTGAATGTTGATAATATGATCTGTGTACTCAATTGATGTCTGATCTGAGTTCGATTGGTTATACCTAGGAATTCCTATAGGAGCGCACAGGGCTTCCCGGCTCACTCATTACAAGTGACTTGAAGCCGAAGCTACATCTCCGTGTAATTTATTTATATATTTCCCCCTTTCAGGAGTATAACATTTACACGTCCACCAAAGAAAGCAGGTGATACCTCTATAGTACAGTATATTTACCTATCTTTACATATTCAAGGGCCTTAGCTCTTTTATCCACTCCCACCTCCTCCCAGGCATTGGTGTGGTCCAGGTAGTGTGTGGCGATGATGGGGGCAGTCATTGAAACCAAGTTCTGCTCTACACAGCCACTCGGCATCACAATGAGTTTACTCAGTACTGCGCCACCAATGGAGTTAATCACTGTATCTGCCAGGGACTCCCCTAATCCAAGACAACATATTGAATTTGTATGTTTTCTTGTTTTAGAAAGGCAAATTCCTAATACTGTAATCTATTTGACACTGTTCATGCTAGCTACACAATTGTAATCAATTGATCAGGTTTCCCCGATATGCAGGCTATGCCGGATTATGCTTATTAGCCCACATGTACATTATTTTGTCATATGTACACTGGGCCTGGTAGAACCGGACTGATCGCTGCGTTCACCACTCTATTTCACTTCACATATCAGTCTGGCCTACGTCTGTTTTGAGCCAACGTCTGTAATGAGGGGCATTATTCAAAACGTACTTGTCTGCAATTGGATCACCTTCAACCAATCAGAGGATGGCCTAATTCAAAGCACAGTGTTTGGCCATGTGGCATTTTGTCCTAAACCCACCCATTGCTTTTGAGAGGATGGTGATTTGACCGGTCATTTTCTGACTTATTCCAAATCCCCATCTATTGGAGGAAGGCTAGACTGATACATGAAGGGAAACAGAATGGTGAACGCAGCGATGAGGCTGGTTCCACCAGGCTACACACTGACAGCAATACATCAAAAACTATTGGATTGTTTCATTAATGTTTTCTTTTAAATATATAGTAGGCACAACACACTTTTATTATTATTATTATTATTATTATTAGAATAAGCAATCTGTTAGGTTGAGGATACCTTCTATAGTGATGGAAGTACTTGAATCTGTGTCTGGAAGCCTGTTCCTCAGGTTAATGTAAACTTCTCCTGTCTGCTTCCCTGTTTCATTTGAGTGGGAACAACACAAAAATAACCAATTATATGTTCACACCTACATAATATCAACCAATTTTACATTTACATTTTAGTCATTTAGCAGACGCTCTTATCCAGAGCGACTTACAGTTAGTGAGTGCATACATTTTCATACTGGCCCCCCGTGGGAAACGAACCCACCAATGTTGTTGATAACATAGATTTAGGCCTCTGTGAAATCTCAGGACATTCTGGCATATTTTACACAATAGCCTTTATACATTTGAAAGTGGTTCAGGATTTTACAACTTGATGTTAGATGGATCCTCACCCTGAATGTAGTCTATGGGCCAGGAGAAACTGTAATCCATGGTTCGGTTTTCTTTAAACAGCCACTTCAAACTTCTGTTAAATTTAGCCACCACAAGCTAACAATCAATGGATGTGATGGAGGCATTTGAGCATGTTTTTATTCCCAGACCAAATCGCCTGAAATCAACTCAAATCAACTCCATATTTGGTTTCATCTTACTTAAAGGTGATATGGCCATTTTAATATAAAAACATACATTGGCCATACTTCCATTGATTGAAGTTTGTAGTGGCTGTTTAAAGAAAACCGAACCATGGATTACAGTTTCTCCTGGCTCATAGAATACTTTCAAGGTGAGGAACCATCTATCATCAAGTTGTAAAATCCTGAACTACTCCTTTAAGCCATGTTATTTTTCAAGATCTAATGGAGAGTACAACAGCTGTTTTGATCCAAACCATTCAGAAAACTTGGTTCCAAAATCCATTTCTCTAGTTTGGTCATCTCCACTCCCTCTGGCTATTATATGGGAAGAAAGGGAGAGAGCGAGAACCATATTAAAGACCCCCTTTATGTGTCCTTAACTACACTGTGAGCATCATGAGCAAGTGCAGGCAGCCTCACCACAACAAGAAGATGTTTCTCTATGCCATCTCTATAATGCTCGCTCCGGGCCGTTACAGTGATTTGGTGTCTGCCTGGCTTCATGGGAATGACAGTGACATACAGGACTTTCTGTGACTTTTGGTTTACATGAACTACTTCCTTGTAGGATCCTCTGTAATTTGTTGCAGTGCACAGATTCTCATTGGCATTGAACAAAACTGTGACCTACAAATAGAGATAAGGAGAAGTTATTTTAGTTGTGCCTAAAGCAGGGGAGAATGTCCCCTCTCATTGAAGCCACAGAAGATCAAGGTCAACCGCGGTACTGCAGGCATTGTTTGCAGAAAATAGGATCCCCCATTATAGTGAATGGAAAAATGACAATCTTCGTGGTCAATCTTCGTGTAAAAATACAAATTGAAGACAATGATGGTACCAATAGTTGCTTCTAATACACCAGATGTACACTACCATTCAAAAGTTTGGGGTCACTTAGAAATGTCCTTGTTTTCGAAAGAAAAGCAATTTTTCTGTCCATTAAAATAACATAAAATTGATCAGAAATACAGTGTAGACATTGTTAATGTTGTAAATGGCTATTGTAGCTGGAAAAGGCTGATTTTTAATGGAATATCTACACAGGTGTACAGAGGCCCATTATCAGCAACCATCAGTCCTGTGTTCCAATGGCACGTTGTGTTTGCTAATCCAAGTTTGTCATTTTAAAAGGCTAATTGATCATTAGAAAACCCTTTTGCAATTATGTTAGCACAGCTGAAAACTGTTGTGCTGATTAAGAAGCAATAAAACTGGCCTTCTTGAGACTAATTGAGTATCTGGAGCATCAGCAATTGTGGGTTACAGGCTCAAAATGGCCAGAAACAAATAACTTTCTTCTGAAACTCGTCAGTCTATTCTTGTTCTGAGAAATGAAGGCTATTCCATGTGAGAAATTGCCAAGAAACTGAAGATCTCGTACAACGCTGTGTACTACTCCTTCACAGAACAGCGCAAACTGGCTCTAACCAGAATAGGAAGAGAAGTGGGAGGCCCCGGTGGACAACTGAGCAAGAGGACAAATACATTAGAGTGTCTAGTTTGAGAAACAGACGCCTCACAGGTCCTCAACTGGCAGCTTCATTAAATAGTACCCGCAAAACACCAGTGTCAACGTCAACAGTGAAGAGGCGATTCCGGGATGCTGACCTTCTAGGCAGAGTTGCAAAGAAAATGCCATATCTCAGACTGCCCATCTTAATCTTTTCTTTTTATTGGCCAGTCTGAGATATGGCTTTTTCTTTGCAACTCTGCCTAGAAGGTCAGCATCCCGGAGTCGCCTCTTCACTGTTGACGTTGAGACTGGTGTTTTGCGGGTACTATTTAATGAAGCTGCCAGTTGACAAAATAATTGCTTTTCTTTCGAAAACAAGGACATTTCTAAGTGACCCCAAACTTTTGAACTGTTGTGTATGTCCTTGAACTGATTGTTTTTAAATCACAAACCGAAGTTATAAGGATAATTTTGTTGATAATGGCATCCTGCATTACCCCGGTCGGCCTTCAACTTGAGTTACGCAATGAGAGGAGGCAGCACTGAGATAACCTGCAACAACACTTCCTGGATTAGGTCAAAATGCGCATGTTACAGTGAGGGAAAAAAGTATTGGATCCCCTGCTGATTTTGTACGTTTGCCAACTGACAAAGAAATTATCAGTCTATAATTTTAATGGTAGGTTTATTTGAACAGTGAGAGACAGAATAACAACAAAAAAATCCAGAAAAACGCATGTAAAAAATGTTATAAATTGATTTGCATTTTAATGAGGGAAATAAGTATTTGACCCCCTCTCAATCAGAAACATTTCTGGCTCCCAGGTGTCTTTTATACAGGTAACGAGCTGAGATTAGGAGCACACTCTTAAAGGGAGTGCTCCTAATCTCAGCTTGTTACCTGTATAAAAGACACCTGTCCACAGAAGCAATCAATCAATCAGATTCCAAACTCTCCACCATGGCCAAGACCAAAGAGCTCTCCAAGGATGTCAGGGATAAGATTGTAGACCTACACAAGGCTGGAATGGGCTACAAGACCATCGCCAAGCAGCTTGGTGAGAAGGTGACAACAGTTGGTGCGATTATTCGCAAATGGAAGAAACACAAAATAACTGTCAATCTCCCTTGGCCTGGGGCTTCATGCAAGATCTCACCTCGTGGAGTTGCAATGATCATGAGAACGGTGAGGAATCAGCCCAGAACTACACGGGAGGATCTTGTCAATGATCTCAAGGCAGCTGGGACCATAGTCACCAAGAAAACAATTGGTAACACACTACGCCGTGAAGGACTGAAATCCTGCAGTGCCCGCAAGGTCCCCCTGCTCAAGAAAGCACATATACATGCCGTCTGAAGTTTGACAATGAACATCTGAATGATTCAGAGGAGAACTGGGTGAAAGTGTTGTGGTCAGATGAGACCAAAATCGAGCTCTTTGGCATCAACTCAACTCGCGGTGTTTGGAGGAGGAGGAATGATGCCTATGACCCCAAGAACACCATCCCCACCGTCAAACATGGAGGTCGAAACATTATGCTTTGGGGGTGTTTTTCTGCTAAGGGGACAGGACAACTTCACCGCATCAAAGGGACGATGGACGGGGCCATGTACCGTCAAATCTTGGGTGAGAACCTCCTTCCCTCAGCCAGGGCATTGAAAATGGGTCGTGGATGGGTATTCCAGCATGACAATGACCCAAAACACATGGCCAAGGCAACAAAGGAGTGGCTCAAGAAGAAGCACATTAAGGTCCTGGAGTGGCCTAGCCAGTCTCAAGACCTTAATGACTTGGAGAAGATCTGCAAAGAGGAGTGTAACAAAATCCCTCCTGAGATGTGTGCAAACCTGGTGGCCTACTACAAGAAACGTCTGACCTCTGTGATTGCCAACAAAGGGTTTGCCACCAAGTACCAAGTCATGTTTTGCAGTGGGGTCAAATACTTATTTCCCTCATTAAAATGCAAATCAATTTATAACATTTTTGACATGCGTTTTTCTGGATTTTTTTGTTGTTATTCTGTCTCTCACTGTTCAAATAAACCTACCATTAAAATTATAGACTGATCATGTCTTTGTCAGTGGGCAAACGTACAAAATCAGCAGGGGATCAATTACTTTTTTCCCTCACTGTACATTGCCATTTTAACTGACTTCATTTGGCTTCAATGTGCTATTGAGTCTCCACATAGGAATGAATGGTGTCACGTGATCAATGGCTTTGTCCATTCATATATATATATATATATATATATATATATATATATAGTCATCGGCCTAAAGTGACTGCCTTACTGATCAAGTGACTTCAAGCAAGACATCTACCTTTTGATGCTCTTCATCATAGTTGTGTATAACTACTTTGATCTGCACTTGCTCTCTGTTTACAACAGAGTATGGTAGGCGCAGGTCCACATAGAAGTTCTTTACAACAGTCATCTCTACAGGTTCTGCCACACATACACCTGCAAACAGAAAAATATAGTTTTAACGACTGTGTTTCAGACTGATCATGTCATGATAAATAACAAGTTGTTAATTGTTAACTGAGGTTGTTTGATAATGTCTGAAGGGTACAACCTGTGATATTTTCTGCTGCTCGATGGTCATTTCAATGAATCCTTTGATTCTTGAAAAATATAACATAAGTTCCTCATGAGCTTATGCAGTAAAACTGTCTTACTTCATCATAACTCACAAACAGGGCCGGATTAACCTTTTGGGCAAACATTTACCTAAGCTTTTGGTGGTGCATTTAACATCTGAATAAACTATAATTAAAATAGGCCCAAATGCAACCTTAAGGGACAAGTTAGCTTTTCTACCAAATATCTATTTTTGATGTAAATGGAATGTTATAGAAGTGCCCAGACACCCCACTGCGAGTGATACTGGCGATACTTTCCATGAGTGAGCATGCACGTGCTATCTATTAAAACAATGGGTATGAGAAAGCACGCTCATGCTCGCACAAGGAAAAGTATCGCTCTTGTCCAACAAAATGGAATATAATGTGGCAGATAAAGTTCGGAATGATACAATTTCATGTGTACAACATCTAAATGCCTACATCACTATACTGAGAGCTTTGACGTTTCTAAAAGGATGAAATGTTGTGTTTTTGGAGCCTTTGTTCATGTTTTATCTGTGCCCCGGCACTGCAGAACAAGCCTGAGTAAGTCTATTGCTGGTGGGCTAAGTTTCTCAAAACCAAGTGAAATTGCTAAAAAAGTTTCTGGACGCTTCTATAACATGACATTTACATTTTAAAAAAATAGAGATTTGTTTTTTTTAAAGCTAACTTGTCCTTTAAGCCAGCATTTACCTCCAATTTAGCCCAACTCTGATTTCCAATTGCCCACCCTGACATACCAGCTAGAACCAGCCCTGTTTGGGATGCTGTTGCTTTCTCTGTAAATGTAATATTGACCTGAGAGGTATACTACGAATCTAGCTAGATGTATTCAGGCTTTTCTGAAATTAGCTAGCTTTACATTCCGCTCAGGCTTCCTCCACATTACGAAGGTAGATATTGATTGTGCACCTGCCGCTTACTTGAGCCTGCTCGAGCCGGGCTTGTAACGGCGCGTTAATGTCACACATGGCTAGTCTAACGCCAAACTCTTCATTGAGGCAATGCTGAAACAGCAGTCGAGTCAGTGAAACATTTACATTTTTGCCGAAACCAAAATGAAAGAAAAGTTAACTTGCAAATTCAGCAGGCTATGGTGTGAAATGGTCTATTAGAAGTGCTGTCTTTCTTACGCATATCGTTCCTTTGGTATGCTTATCAATGCACAAGTCCCTTTTTCCCAACTCCTAACGATAAAATAATGTTATTAAGTCATACAAATGTTTTACTGCGCATGAAGTTTCAAATGCATTCTGTCATTACTAAATGTGTTGTGTGATATGTATTTGAATATGACTATTTTCAACACAAAATAACATTTGATTAATAAAACATTTAATCAGTCATCTTCTTCAAATATGTTCCGTAGAATGAAAGGGAGGGAATCTAATTTGATTGGTCCTCAACTCACAGCTAAAACACTTCAATCAGGATAAGTGAAGTTAGCCCACCCTGGCTAAAAGGTGAGCCACTTTCGTGTCACTGGTTATCCCGAGTTCAACTCAGAGTTGACCAAAGTTAGCTCACTAACTCCTCTATGTAGATTAGTAGTATACCACTCAGCTTGTGCTGATAGTTGTGGCAATCCACAGATAATACTTCTATGGGGGGGTTAGCATTTTAGCTAATTAGCAACAACTACTTACTACTTAGCATTATGCTAACCTTTACTTTAACCCTTACCCTTTTGAAAAATGTATCAACCCCTACATAAATGTCCATTAATTATAACCTACATAATAATTCACATTTCCTATTGCTGCAGGATTATTTTTCGTGCTGTATCAAACTGGCTCAAATTAAGAACAACATCTGTAGCCTACCATATATCCAACCCAACTCCATTAGTTTTCAAACTTTTTAACTCACGACCCCCAAAAAGGAATGGTAGGCCTATAAAACTTGCGACCCCCGCGAACATGCGCACACAATCGCTGCACAAATGTAGCCTGTCATTACAGCCATAAACGGTGATGGGTTTTCAAAACGCAAGATAGGCTACAGAAATAAACAGTGTTTTACACCTGCATTTGGAGCTGAAAGTTATTCATGTTGGCAGCCAATATCAAGTAGGGATATACAGTGGGGAAAAAAAGTATTTAGTCAGCCACCAATTGTGCAAGTTCTCCCACTTAAAAAGATGAGAGAGGCCTGTAATTTTCATCATAGGTACACGTCAACTATGACAGACAAAATGAGAAAAAAAATCCAGAAAATCACATTGTAGGATTTTTAATGAATTTATTTGCAAATGATGGTGGAAAATAAGTATTTGGTCAATAACAAAAGTTTCTCAATACTTTGTTATATACCCTTTGTTGGCAATGACACTGGTCAAACGTTTTCTGTAAGTCTTCACAAGGTTTTTGAACACTGTTGCTGGTATTTTGGCCCATTCCTCCATGCAGATCTCCTCTAGAGCAGTGATGTTTTGGGGCTGTCGCTGGGCAACACAGACTTTCAACTCCCTCCAAAGATTTTCTATGGGGTTGAGATCTGGAGACTGGCTAGGCCACTCCAGGACCTTGAAATGCTTCTTACGAAGCCACTCCTTCGTTGCCCGGGCGGTGTGTTTGGGATCATTGTCATGCTGAAAGACCCAGCCACGTTTCATCTTCAATGCCCTTGCTGATGGAAGGAGGTTTTCACTCAAAATCTCACGATACATGGCCCCATTCATTCTTTCCTTTACATGGATCAGTCGTCCTGGTCCCTTTGCAGAAAAACAGCCCCAAAGCATGATGTTTCCACCCCCATGCTTCACAGTAGGTATGGTGTTATTTGGATGCAACTCAGCATTCTTTGTCCTCCAAACACGACGAGTTGAGTTTTTACCAAAAAGTTATATTTTGGTTTCATCTGACCATATGACATTCTCCCAATCCTCTTCTGGATCATCCAAATGCACTCTAGCAAACTTCAGACGGGCCTGGACATGTACTGGCTTAAGCAGGGGGACACGTCTGGCACTGCAGGATTTGAGTCCCTGGCGGCGTAGTGTGTTACTGATGGTAGGCTTTGTTACTTTGGTCCCAGCTCTCTGCATGTCATTCACTAGGTCCCCCCGTGTGGTTCTGGGATTTTTGCTCACCGTTCTTGTGATCATTTTCACCCCACGGGGTGAGATCTTGCGTGGAGCCCCAGATCGAGGGAGATTATCAGTGGTCTTGTATGTCTTCCATTTCCTAATAATTGCTCCCACAGTTGATTTCTTCAAACCAAGCTGCTTACCTATTGCAGATTCAGTCTTCCCAGCCTGGTGCAGGTCTACAATTTTGTTTCTGGTGTCCTTTGACAGCTCTTTGGTCTTGGCCATAGTGGGGTTTGGAGTGTGACTGTTTGAGGTTGTGGACAGGTGTCTTTTATACTGATAACAAGTTCAAACGGGTGCCATTAATACAGGTAACGAGTGGAGGACAGAGGAGCCTCTTAAAGAAGAAGTTACAGGTCTGTGAGAGCCAGAAATGTTGCTTGTTTGTAGGTGACCAAATACTTATTTTCCACCATAATTTGCAAATAAATTCATAAAAAATCCTACAATGTGATTTTCTGGATTTTTTTTCCTCAATTTGTCTGTCATAGTTGACGTGTACCTATGATGAAAATTACAGGCCTCTCTCATATTTTTAAGTGGGAGAACTTGCACAATTGGTGGCTGACTAAATACTTTTTTCCCCCACTGTATCATGTCACTTCTCTGGAGTCCTACGGCCTATTTGTAGTAGTTACAGGATCGGATGGAAAGCATGTTCTGTCTGCGCCATCACTTTCGAGGGCAGCCTGCCTGCACAGTGCTTGTTGCCAGGCGGGTAACCCTGTTCTTCCTCACAAATATCATAATAAATTCGCCAGAATATGTTACATCTTCATCCCATAATATTGAAGGAAATGCGATGTTACAGCTGCTTATCTTTAGACATTATTGCCAATTGCCAGTAGCCACCCAAACTAGGCCTATCTAAAATATGAAAACGATCAATCAAATCGCCAGGTAGCCTATTGTTATGGCAAAAATGAGTTAGTAGGAGATTGTTAAAGTATATTTTATATGAATAATAAACGTAGGCCTACTCTGTTATTGCCAGGCAAAACTGGAGGAAATCTGGATATGTGAGCCTGCCTTTGCGCACTAATTCTGATGACGGTGGTCATTGGTCAACAATCAAGACACACCAAGTTTTTGCTTCTGAAGCATAGATGAGAATTTAACTACACCTTGCGGCCAGTGGGTTCAGAACAACAACGGCAGAAGGACAACCATCTCTGCAGCACTCCACAAATCAGGCCTTTATGGTAGAGTGACCAGACGGAAGCCACTCCTCAGTAAAAGGCACATGACAGCCCATTTTGAGTTTGCCAAAAGGCACCTAAAGACTCTCAGACCACGAGAAACAAGATTCTCTGGTCTGATGAAACCAAGATTGAACTCTTTAGCCTGAATGCCAAGCGTTACTTCTGGAGGAAACCTGGCACCATCCCTACGGTGAAGCATGGTGGTGGCAGCATTATTCTGTGTGGATGTTTTTCAGCGGCAGGGACTGGGAGACTAGTCAGTATTGAGGGAAAGATGAACGGAGCAAAGTACAGAGAGATCCTTGATGAAAACCTGCTCCAGAGCGCTCAGGACCTCAGACTGGGGCGAAGGTTCACCTTCCAACAGGACAACGACTTTAAGCACACAGCCAAGACAACGCAGGAGTGGCTTCGGGACAAGTCTCTGAATGTCCTTGAGTGGCCCAGCCAGAGCCCGGACTTTAACCCAATCGAACATCTCTGGAGAGACCTGAAAATAGCTGTGCAGCAACGTGCCCCATCCAACCTGACAGAGCTTGAGATGATCTGCAGAGAAGAATGGGAGAAACTCCCCAAATACAGGTGTGCCAAGCTTGTAGCATCATTCCTGTGGTGTCCAAGACAACGATGCTGATCTATGCTGTGATGATAAGGAGTCCGCTTACACTGTACTTTGATTACAAAAGTTTATTTATATCAAAGATCACAGTATCAATTTACAGACATCTGCAGAATATCTGGAGAGAAACGGCCAATCTGTTGATCTAATATGTTGTCTCTCCCTGTCCCTTTGTTCAGAACATGGTATTTATATCCTATGTAACATAATATGGCGTGATTTTAATAAACCAATCCCTGGCCTCTACATAGCAGACTTTCCTCTATTCCAAGAAACCTATGTAGTAATGCTTTCCAGATGTTTCAGCAAGCAGAGCCAAGTTCCTCTAACACACCATTTGCAAATGTCAGCAAAATCATAAACTGTTTAGATACTACATACCCAAGAAGACTCGAGGCTGTAATCGCTGCCAAAGGTGCTTCAACAAAGTACTGAGTAAAGGGTCTGAATACTTATGTAAATGTCATATTTCAGTTTTTTATTTTTAATAAATTAGCAAAACATTCTAAAAACCTGTTTTTGCTTTGTCATTATGGGGTATTGTGAATAAGGCTGTAACGTAACAAAATGTGGAAAAAGTCAAGGGGTCTGAATACTTTCCCAAGGCACTGTATTGTTAAACATAGGCTATAGCATTCGCACTGATATATGGGCTAGGCCTACTGTAAATTATAGTCTGGACATGGACATGCCAAACGTAGTCAATAAGCAAAAACATACTATAATTCAAATAAATTCAAATAAAAATGAAACAACAAAAAAAAGGCTATGTCGAAATACAGTTACAGGCACCATAAGTGCTCCCCGTAGGCGTATATACAGACAACGAGGTACATGTCTTTGTTGCTATTGGGGCAGGCTGAGACATTTAAAGCGGTCTCTCCATAGAGGATAGAAGTGACTACACACAGTTGAAAAATGCTATGGGGAAATGATTATACCCTTGTTACAGTCACAATGGGAACCGTGCTAACTTCCTGGCTAGGAGGAGGCTGCATAATGAAACAGCCCGTGAATTTGGCAATGCTCTGTCGGTTAATGGAGAAAGCGTACCCAACTACAGATGCCACTACTGTAGATCTGTTTACACGTGATCGTTTTGTATATGTATGTAGTGGAGACTCTTGAGTCAGTCTCCGGTCTGCTAGGCCCACTACGCTGGAGCAGGCAATAAGTATTGCTTCCGAGATGGAAGTCATCAGGAGTTAGGAACTTAGTCACATAACCCCCGATGCCAGGGTTCGGGGCGTGTCTGATCACAAGTCAACTAGTGTTGCTCAAATTGACGTTTTGCTTGGTGTAGTAGAAGGGCTTCGAGAAGAGGTCAAATCCTTGCACGTCAAGGAAAAAAAAAAAAATATGCCAAGCCCCCCCCCAGTAGACTAACACTTCCTTGGTTCACCTCAATGCTAAAGTTAAGAAATGGAGGGACACAAAAAAACAACCCATTTCATATGAATAGCCCGGAGTCCAGGTTGAAATATTAGTCGCCTCACCCTGACAGATTATAATGAGGTTATGGCTGTGGACACATTGGGATTTTGTGTGCAAGAATTTTGGATTAAGCCAGTCCTTTTTCAATGGGAGTCATCTGTTGCCTGATTAATGGCTAGAGATGATTTGTCTTACAAGAATCATACAAACGGTCTGTCTTTTGACGAATGCAACTTGTCCAAACAAGTTGACATCTAATGGACAATGATGTACGCCATATACACTGAACAAAAATATAAATGCAACATGTAAAGTGTTGGTCCCATGTTTCATGAGCTGAAATAAAAGATCCCAGAAATGTTCCATATGCACAAAAAGCTTATTTCGCTGTTTTACATCCCTGTTAGAGAGTATTTCTCATTTGCCAAGATAATTCATCCACCTGACAGGTGTGGCATATCAAAAAGCTGATTAAACAGCATGAACATTACACAGGTGCACCTTGTGCTGGGGAAAATAAAAGGCTACTCTAAAATGTGCAGTTTTGTCACACAACACAATGCCAATTGGCATGCTGACTGCAGTAATGTCCACCAGAGCTGTTGCCAGAGAATTGAATGTTAATTTCTCTACCATAAGCCTCAAACGTTGTTTTAGAGCATTTGGTAGTATGTCCAACCGGCCTCACAACAGCAGACCACGTGTATGGCGTTGTGTGGGCGAGCAGTTTGCTGATGTCAATGTTGTGAACAGAGTGCCCCATGGTGGCGGTGGGGTTATGGTATGGACAGGCATAAACTACGGACAACAAACACAATAGCATTTTATCGATTGGCAGTTTGAATTCACAAAAATACTTGACGAGATCCTGAGGCCCATTGTGAGGCCCATTTCTTTTTAATGGTATCTGTGATCATGTGAAATCCATAGATTAGGGCCAAATTAATTTATTTCAATTGACTGATTTCCTCATATGAACACTAACTCAGTAAAATCTTTGAAATTGTTGCATGTTGCATTTATATTTTTGTTCAGTATATTTGAAATCAATTGATTACTATGAGGTGACAGCCATACATTCAAAGCGCACGCATTGTTTAAACTGAAACTGGACACGTGACCTTGAAATGCAGTTAATATGGTAACAAAATTGGCTCCAACATTTAAGCTACCTGTAGGCCTACCTGCTTTTATTCACTCTAAAAAATGTGTGTTTGTGGCAAAGCTTTACTCAAATTAATGCCAAAGTCCTGTCTGTATGAAGAATCAAAAATAAAAAAACAGGTAAAAATACCTGCAGCAGCTGTTTGAGGCGCTCATCACGATCCAAGCCATCTCTGTGAGGCCGAGAGAGCCTTCTCAGTCTGTGGCCAATTTGTGACGAAGATCCGAAACCACCAGTCCAGGAAACATTAAAGCACTGTCCTTTTTCAGAGCCCACTTCAGCAGACAAAAATAAAGTCAAACAGGTTTGGCCTATGCCAATTATTTGGTTTGTTTGTTTGTTTGCTAAAGGGTAGGCCTACCAGATTATTTTACGTAGTCTATAGCCTAAATTTGTGTGCAGAATGTTATTCTACATTTGTTTGAGAATTTGTCTTGAGAATCAGTCAGCTACAATTAGGGCTTACAGTTAGGCCTACCTACAATTATAGTTACTCTGTTTCTGACCATGTCTGTTTTTCATGTTGAAAAATTATGCGAGAATCGTGTCTTTTAATGATCCTGAAATTGAACAAGCAAGTAAAAAAAAAAAAGAAGGTTGTTTTTTCTGTCTTGAATAAAAGTAATAATCGAAAATAATAATGGCTGGGTTCTTGACTTGTTTATTTAATTCTATTATATAGTCCACGTTTGTGTAGCCATGGAGGCTCATGTTTCATTTACTTTATGCTGTGACTAAATAACCATTTTAAAACAAAACCTTGAGAGATGATAATTTACTTTGTTAGAAATAGGCCTACCATTGAATTTTGGTTAATGAATGATAATGAACGATAACAAATGCAATAAGTAAATGTTAGCTTTTATGTAAAATATAGCCTACCTTAGAATGGCACATGATTCACGGCAGGTTTAAATTGATCAACCACAGCGCTATCCATGGTGCTGAATCACCGTTGGTACAACTTATCTGTTTGATTAGCGGAGAATCAGATATGTTCCCTTTGACAAAATCACAGCAATAAGCTAAGTAAAAACAACCACCACCTACCCAAATTGGGTGTATATTTCTCAATTTAGAGTGGTATAATCATGTCAGATTTTCCTCGCTGGTATTATATGCTTTTAAATTGGCTAGCACTCCTGGTTTGAACAGGAATACCGGGAAGCCCGGTCATTTCTTAACATTTTCTCGGGAAGGACAATTTGTAGATTCTCTGGAAAATATTAAACCCTAGTACAGAATGCCACCTTTTATTTAAGGGTATTTTCATACATATGTTTTTTACCAAGTCCAAAAATGGATGTAGCATACCCAGATTGACCCTTTAATGGCAGACATTTTGTGGATTTTTTGTTGGACATCATCTCGGTTGTCATTCATCAATAATGGATGACTCCCATTGAAAAAACATTGTCTCCATCTGAAATGTTTACCATACAGTGAGTCTGATTATCATGCTGAAAACTGAGATGGTACTTGGAGCCACTCACCTTTGGTTTCAGAGGTACTGATACCGAGGACCATCCACTGTGTGATGGAGTCTTGAAGAACCATCTTTTTAGTATTTTCATCTGTGATAGTACTGAATAAGGGAGAGAGAGCTAATGATATACATTTCTATCCGCTGGATGCATTTAAAATATGAGGGATTGCTTTAGTGGGACCAGTGGGAAATTATTATTCAAAGTATCTAAACTACTACTTCATCCACATCACGAGTAGATGGTGCATCATGCTGTAGGTCTAATAGAACACAGAACATTAGCTTGCAATTGCATTGAACTGGGCCTTTGAATACATTTGAAAGCCCTTTGCATATCTTATCTTTGGTTGGTCAGATCTCGAGTATGTGAGATACCTACCTGGTCCCCAGATTCTGAAATTCATACCTGATCAATCCATCAATTTTACATAATCAGTAACACATGAGGAACAATCATGTTTTACTGTCTGTCAAATGTTGTCTCTTTACCCAGCATCACTCAGCTCTATGGTGGTCCACATCCAGCTGACATCAAACTTAGAGCGGATAATAATGTCCTCCTCATCCTCATCCTCATCAAATACATCTTCATTTGCTTCAGGAAAATGAAACAGGATTGAAGAAGAGAAAGAGAGTGAGAGAAATCGATAGACATTTACATAATCTATCGATTTGCCTATGAAATGTATGTCAGACAGAATACAGACAGACACTGAAAAAAAGAGAGAAAGAATGCTTTTACTGCGAGCGAGGATCAGTTCTGGGGTGGTGAAGCGTATCTTTTCTTTCTGGATTCCTTGACAGCAGCGTAGAAAGGCCTCCACACACTTCGGCCCTTCTGTGATGTAGTGCGAGCGCTTCTCACATGAGTAGTCCAAGGGAAAGTCCATCATGCCATCATGACAGCACCTCTTCACATCCTCTCCATACTGTCTCGCTTGGGAAGTAGATAGCATAACGTACCTATATCGGTTCATTCATCATCATTCTACTTATTAGACTATCTGTTACATCAGCCCTTACTCACCTATCTCATATTTGGCATCCTGTAAAGACGCTGCCTGTCGCCTCCTTTTAGGTACCTCTGTGTCACAACTGAATCCTAAGAGATCATTGAAAAGCAACTGAGCCCGATAAAAGGGTCAAATCTTAACTAACATAATTGAATAAACCAAGAGAAAATCAACTACAGTATTTGTCCAGTAGCTTATTATTAAAATGCTGCAGTGATCAGTGCATCTCAGCAAGCGTATGCTTATCTGGCATGTAATAATAGTATATAAAATAATATTATGCAGATTGCTCTTACGTTGTCTAGGTGCTGTTCTTTCTTGATTGGATTCAAACAGGAGGCCAGCATCTGTGAAAATGGCCATGTTGTTTCGCCCCCCTCCCCTTGTGCACCCTTTGTCACTCCTCTCTACTTCATCCCAGATCTGAAATAAAGTGAGATAGAAGAGGGGTGTCAAAATGGTTCAAGAAGCAGAATAGAAAAATGTAACAAGATTTCAGTGAATCACCTTGGCCTGCGTGAGATTGCCCCTTTTACTCAGCATGTAAGCAGCCTTGTCAACCACCACCAGCCCAACCTTGGCACCTGGGTCTCCCTCCACGTTCAGAGAGAACTCTTCTCTTGGGCTGAACTCTGGACGGCTATTAGATTTCTTTATGGATACTTTTAGCTAAAAATCAGAACATGGACAGGTGCAAAGAACATTAATGAGAAGTACAAAATGTGATTTGACACACTATATGCTTTGGATTTGAAATGGTTAATGAGGTTAATGAAGTGAAGACTGACAGCTTTAATTTGAGGGTATTTTCATCCATTTCGGGTAAACTATTTAGAAATTACAGCACTTAGTCCCCCCATAGAAATGTACGTAGTCCCCCCATAGAAATGAATGGTAAACAATGTATTGTGTCATTTTGGAGTCACTTTTATTGTAAATAAGAATATAATATACATATTTCTAAACACTTCTACATTGTGAATGCTACCATGATCACGGATAGTCCTGAATGAATCGTGAATAATGGTGAGTGAGAAAGTTAGACGCACAAATATCCTACCCCCAAGACATGCTAACCTCTCACCATTACAATAAAAGGGGAGGTTAGCTTTTTGGGGGGGGGGGGGGGGGGGGGTGGTATGATATTTATTCCTCCGTAACTTTCTCACTCATCATTATTCATGATTCATTCAGGATTATCTGTAATCATGGTAGCATCCATATTCATGTACAGTGGCTTGCGAAAGTATTCACCCCCCCTGGCATTTTTCCTATTTTGTTGACTTACAACCTGGAATTAAAATGGATTTTTTTGGGGTTTGTATCATTTGATTTACACAACTTTGAAGATGCAATTTTTTGTTGATGTGTGAAACAAACAAGAAATAAGACCCAAAAAAACAGAAAACCTGAGCGTGCATAACTATTCACCCCCCCAAAGTCAATACTTTGTAGAGCCACCTTTTGCAGCAATTACAGCTGCAAGTCTCTTGGGGTATGTCTCTATAAGCTTGGCACATCTAGCCACTGGGATTTTTGCCCATTCTTCAAGGCAAAACTGCTCCAACTCCTTCAAGTTGGATGGGTTCCGCTGGTGTACAGCAATCTTTAAGTCATACCACAGATTCTCAATTGGATTGAGGTCTGGGCTTTGACTAAGCCATTCCAAGGCATTTAAATGTTTCCTCTGAAACCACTCAAGTATTGCTTTAGCAGTATGCTTAGGGTCATTGTCCTGCTGGAAGGTGAACCTCCGTCCCAGTCTCAAATCTCTGGAAGACTGAAACAGGTTTCCCTCAAGAATTTCCCTGTATTTAGCGCCATCCATCATTCCTTCATTTCTGAACAGTTTCCCAGTCCCTGCTGATGAAAAACATCCACACAGCATGATGCTGCCACCACCATGCTTCACTGTGGGGATGGTGTTCTCGGGGTGATGAGAGGTGTTGGGTTTGCGCCAGACATAGCGTTTTCCTTGATGGCCAAATAGCTCAATTTTAGTCTCATCTGACCAGAGTACCTTCTTCCATATGTTTGGGGAGTCTCCCACATGCCTTTTGGCGAACACCAAACGTGTTTGCTTATTTTTTTTCTTTAAGCAATGGCTTTTTTCTGGCCACTCTTCCATAAAGCCCAGCTCTGTGGAGTGTACGGCTTAATGTGGACAGATACTCCAATCTCCGCTGTGGAGCTTTGCAGCTCCTTCAGGGTTATCTTTGGTCTCTTTGTTGCCTCTGATTAATGCCCTCCTTGCCTGGTCCGTGAGTTTTGGTGGGCGGCCCTCTCTTGGCAGGTTTGTTGTGGTGCCATATTCTTTCCATTTTTAATAATGGATTTAATGGTGCTCCGTAGGATGTTCAAAGTTTCTGATATTTTTTTATAACCCAACCCTGATCTGACTTCTGAGGTAATAAAAACATACAGGAAATGCATCCAACAAATTTGTAGAGTCACAATCTTGATGTAGTCATTGCTTGCTATGAATATGGGACCAAATACTTAACTTTTTACTACTTTAATACACATATATATACACTTTTGGTTCCCTAAAATGGGGGGACTATGTTCAAAAAGGGCTGTAATTTCTAAACGGTTAATCCGATATGGATGGAAATACCTTCAAATTAAAGCTGACAGTCTGCACTTTAACCTCATAGTCATTGTATAATTTCAAATCCAATGTTCTGGAGTACAGAGCCAAAACAACAAAAATGTGTCACTGTCACAATTCTTTTGGAGCTCACTGTATATTGTTAAAAAAGTTATAGTTCAGAGTTACCTGTCCCATGCACTGGTCCTCCACGTCCACCCACAGTGAGTCAGCCACCACAACATTACCTTGCGATGGCACCATGTAGAAAGCCACCAGGCGGAAGGAAGGGAGCATGTCGGGAGTTACTTCCAAGGTTTCTTTGAGGAGAGCTTTGTCCTTTGAATTCCACTTCCCCATTTTAATGATCCGCCCTTTGCTGACCACCTAATATAACATTTAAACCGGACTGTAATAAAACCAAAAATATAGAAATGCTAAACGATAAAGAAAAACATACAGTTAATGAACAGTTGTTTTACCATGTATGAAATGAAATCATATTGAAAAGCCTTGACCCCTTTTTCTCCAAGGAAGTTGATGGAAACGGTGAGGAACTCATCCTTCTTCACCACAGGTTTGTCCACAGAAAGGTGGAGGTACTCTTTGACTGTCTTTGTCTCGTACGCTAAAAGTGTTATATCTTTTCGTGCCTGGTGACTAGAATCAAGTAAATCAGAGACAGCTGTTTTCACTTGGACCGTTTTTTCTTTTTCTGTTTGAACAGTGTTAATGGTGATGACAGCTATTCCATGGCTGTCTGTGCGGTATGACAGTCCGTCACTCTCTATATCAATGCCCTTTACAGGAGACCCAGAAGTGTCAGTCAGGTACACCTGGAGAGAGAGAACGAGAAAGGGTGTGTTCATGTTTATGTTCATGGGTGTTTAACAGGGGTTGAGAGGGCATGAGTGTGAGAAAGGTTTGCATGAACATTTGTGTTTGTGTTCATGTGTTTGAGTTACCCTTATGTAAATGAGTTAATACAAAAAAAATGGTATACTGTACTTTAATGTATCATTTTGCTTGAATAAAAAGGGCTTGAAATGTTCTTTAAATAAGTGTTTTTGAACTTTTTTGGTTTAAATTGGTCCACATCTTTGTATTATTTGGTACTTTATATGTACTTCATGTCTTAAGATAGATTACTTTAGTGTATTTTTTGTTCATATGTATTCTTTTTAATATTTGTAATAGTGTCGTTTATGGGTACACAGAATACATAACAAATAAAAGTGTACTCCATCTATTGGAAATTATTTTTCTATGCTGATCAAATTAAATAATTCCTTTTCACAAATATATAATACTGAATTTTCTCTTATTTAATGTCATAAGGGCATGATCGTACTTATTCTAAGAGTGCTAGAAGAGGAACTTTATCTCTTCAGGGAGAAGTGACCCTTCTGTGCTCCGATTGTTGCCAAGCAGTGGCATTTTTGTGGTTGGTCATCACTGTTACACTCATAACAATATTTTTACGGTCATACACCACCACGCCCGCACAAACACAGCTGCACCATGAACTTGAATCAAATATAATAGGTGACATTTAATTGCAAAATATATTAAATTAATTTAACAATTTAGCGATTATCTTGCAAAAGCATGTTTTCCAGAATTCCACAGTCTAATTTGCATAATACCCACCCCCAAATGGAAAGTCCATTAGTTGGTTTACTTCTATAATATACTGAAAGTATACAGTATGTGTTTTAAAATAGAAAAACTATGCTCCAAGTTTACTTTTTTAGAGTGAAGTTTTAGCAACATTAAAGTAATATACTTCCTTAATATTTGAAAGATAAATAAACATAGGTAACACTTTACTTGACACCCAGTGTAAATTGTGACATGGTCATAACCATGTCATAATATGTCATAACAGCTGACATAACTTGTCATAACCTGTCATAATATGGTCATAACACTGTCATGACCCATATAGTTACACCTGTTGTGAGATATATTGCATTATATTATGGCTGGTTATGACACCTACATAAGAGTGTCAAAATCCACATTTATTCAAATTAGTGTTTTCCCTGCCAAGAAGTTCCCTTTCGCTTGAAAGTGTGTCTCTTAAATCCTTAGTTTTTGTTGTAATGAATTCTTTACAGTCCTGTTTTTTTCATCATATTTTAAATATCTTCTAGAAAATGCACTTTATGACACTGTCATGAAGCATTATGACCATCCTGTGTCACTTTACTTGGACTAAGAAAATACACTTTATGACACTGTCAAGAAGCATTATGACCATCATAATCATATAAGCCAGATAGGCCTATAACGTACAGGCCCTTATATCTGTCATCAGTCACAAAGAGGGTGTCTTGTCCTGCTCCTGAAATCTGCTCCTGCATTCATCCCAGTCATCAGCAACAGAGCATTGGGGCAGGTGCATGTCTGACATCAATGTTTGCTCAATTACAATTATAATTTAACATGGTCCAAAAAATATTTAACATAAATGTACTGTTGACACGTAGGCTATGGTGTAATGGAATGTTTTGCCTTGTGTGGTAGGTTTTGTGGGTTTTTACACTCTTATGTATGTGTCATAACCAGCCATAAAATAATGCAATATATGTCACAACAGGTCTAAATATGTATCATGACAGTGTTATGACCATATTATAACAGGTTATGTCAGCTGTTATGACATATTATGAACATATAAGACAAGTAAATGTGGTGTTTTTAGTTTTGAACATACAATATACATTTATGGACATGGTAAGGGTATAATTCTGCTTCTTTCTAAAGACAGTTTACCCTTGTGACGTATACAACTTACATAAAGATTAAATGGTAGGCCTGGCTTGAAGAATTTTGAGGATTTGGTAAAATGAATTGAGTAAGGAGATGTAACCACTTTGATGCCTGTGAGCTCTGCTGTTACAATGTCACTGCCTAGGAAAGACAGGGAGCAGGAGAAAACAAGGTGTTATATGGGATGTAACAAATATAATCTGTGGATATTAGGGGTCAAATACACATTCCAAATACTGTTATGTATATTTACAGAAAAAAAGATGGGAAGGGAGAGTGGAGTCACTGGTAGAACAGCCCATCAAAGGCGGGATTGACCATGCTCTTTGAATTAATGTTTACTTATCGTCCAAAAACAAAGACAACCAAAGCGGCCTTAATAAGTGTTTCCATGTTTTTAAAAATCTATTAAACTGAACATGCAACAGTAATGAAGGCATTATTAACATTTTAAAGTATTTTGCATAAGTATTTGACCCAGGTCTGATGGATATGAATGGATGAATCCATATAGTATTCACAATAGGTATTACTACACCTGAGCTAGTGAAGACAGTAGCTCTTGCAAAGAGAGAACATCCAAGGAATTCATTATTTGGAATAACGTCTTTGATTTGAGCAACTGTCAGTATGGCTGTGGCTGTCCCTGTCTGAGAGACAAAATCAAAAAGATGGTTAAATGTAGAATATCTACAAATCAGTATTCTAAGGAAATATACACATGAGAGCTAACATATAATGTACAGTGCTGTGAAAAAGTTTTTGCCCCCTTTCTAATTTTCTCTACTTTTACATATTTTTGATAATAAATGTTATCAGATCTTCAACCAAAACCTAATATTAGATAAAGGGAACCTGAGTGAACAAATAACATAACAATTACATACATATTTCACAAACAAAGGTATGCAACACTGTCACGCCCTGGCTCTGGGACTCTGTTATGTTGAGCCAGGGTGTGTAGTTTCTATGTGTTGGTGTTCTAGGTTCTTTATCTAGCTCATGTGTTTCTGTGTTGGCCGGGGTGGTTCTCAATCAGAGGCAACGAGTATCAGCTGTTGCTTGTTGTCTCTGATTGGGAACCATACTTAGGCAGCCTGTTTTGCCACAGTGTTTGTGGGATCTTGTTCCGTGTATGGTTTGTGTCTGTTACCTAGGACTTCACGTATCCTTTTGTTGTTTTGTTCGTGTGGTGATTTAAAATAAATAAGTATGTTCGCATATCACGCTGCGCATTGGTCTACTCCTTTCAACGATCGTGACAAACACCCAATTCCCTTGTGTGAAAAAGTAATTGCCCCCTTACACTCAATAACTGGTTGTGCCACCTTTGGCTGCAATGACTTCAACCAAATGCTTCCTGTAGTTGTTGATCAGTCTCTCACATCGCTGTGGAGAAATTTTGGCCCACTCTTGCTTGCAGAACTGCTGTAACTCAGCGACATTTGTAGGTTTTCAAGCATGAACTGCTCGTTTCAAGTCCTGCCACAACATCTCAATTGGGATTAGGTCTGGACTTTGACTAGGCCATTCCAAAACTTTCAATTTGTTGCTTTTTAGCTATTTTCATGTAGACTTGATTGTGTGTTTTGGATCATTATCTTGCTGCACGACCCATCTGCACTTCAGCTTCAGCTCACAGACGGATGGCCTAACATTCTCCTGTAGAATTCTCTGATAAAGAGCATAATTAAGGGTTCCTTCTATTAAGGCAAGTCGTACAGGTCCTGAGGCAGCAAACCATCCCCAAACCATCACACTACCACCACCATGCTTGACCGTTGGTATGAGGTTCTTACTGTGGAATGCAGTGTTTGGTTTTCGCCAGGCATAATGGGACCAATGTCGTCTAACAAGCAGTTCATGTTTGAAAACCCACAAATGTCGCTGAGTTAAAGCAGTTCTGCATGCAAGAGTGGGCAAAAATTCCTCCACAGCGATGTGAGAGACTGATCAACAACTACAGGAAGCATTTGGTTGCAGTCATTGCAGCTAAAGATGGCACAGCCAGTTATTGAGTGTAAGGGGGCAATTACTTTTTCACACAGGGGAATTGAGTGTTGCATAACTTTGTTAATTAAATAAATAAAATAAGTATACTTTTTTGTGTTATTTGTAAACTCAGGTTCTTTATCTAATATTAGGTTTTGGTTGATGATCTGAAAACATTCAATATAAAAAAAGCAATAATAGAGAAAATCAGAAAGGGGGCAAATACTTTTTCACAGCACTGTAAATCCTGCCCTAAGTCACTCTCTACTGAATTGGAGTTTGAATTGCTGAGAGATCGTACAATTACTTGATCAATTGTATGCTGACAAATAATACATAACAGAATTTGCACCGTGTGGAAATCTTTCAGTGATCATAATCACTTTGCTGTAAGGACATCCCCAGTAAAGCACAGTTCAAGAAAAACGTACTGTTAATTGATGCCTTTGTAGTAAGGTGGATAACCGGATTTTCGTGCCATTCTTGCCCACATATCCAAACATGACATATGCATAGCCTATAACCTCCGTTCCAGAGAAGTACCTGAGAAACAAGTGTGTAGCAGTGTTATAAATGGAATTATAAACTGGGTGGGTCGAGCCCTGAATGCTGATTGGCTGACAGCCGTGGTATATCAGACCGTATACCACAGGTATGACAAAACATTTATTTGTACTGCTCTAATTACGTTGGTAACCTGTTTATAATATCAATAAGTCACCTCAGGGGTTTGTGGTATATTGGCCATATACCACACCCCCTCGTGCCTTATTGCTTAATTGACTCTTCGCTAAGCCCCGCCGCCCTTGGTTACTGTTGCAACCTCGGACAACATTTTCCCGGGAAGCCCAATTCCCCATTCAACCATTGGCGAAATGCCCTCCCAATGATCTCAAACTGTGTTTTAATACACAATGAAATTAAACACAGACTACCCCTTGCTAATCAGGAAACATTTTGGTATGTTGTGGTGGACTGTCATTACAATTTATTCACGGGAAGCAGGTCTAATTGGGTTTGTAGTGTGGCTAGCCACTGAATTGCTCTGAATTCACTGTCAGCATGCATGCAGTAAAAGCTACAACAACTTAGGAGCTTACTAGTGCTCTCAAATCGTATCCTGATGTTGACAGCACATGGTAGTTGTATTCATAGCATTGCTAACTTAGCTAACATACATTTCGAGAAAACAAGCTATATTAGGTGGCTAGCTAGCTAGTGTTAGCAACATTTGGCGGTCAATGAGACTGGGAGCTAGCTAACCAGCTGACTTTGCAAACAATGAAACAAAAAAAAGTTGAATTCCAAAAATACTCCAACAGACTCTGCATTTCAGAAATCACAGTAGCAAGTACTTCTGGTGCACTGTTCAATTATTTAGCAATTTAAACATGTATTTTTTGAAGGAAACTCTCAGTTTTTGCCATAGCCCTCACTTGATTTCATGCGATTTAAACAAACTTGTCCGAGGTGTGGGACTAGACGAGAGTTGGTATCCATTGGAGCGCTGCGATTGGTTGCCTAAAGGTCAGGGGCGGGCCTTAGTGAAGGGTGAATTGAGAATTACTTATTGTATTAAAATGTAAATAGAGTAAATACTATAGGATGTCAATGTTTTATCTATTGTAGAATTTCATTAAACTCAATACAATTCCAATGCCTCATATAACGTATACTTCAATATTAACAACGTTTATTTCAATATATTATCAATGCCATATTGTTGTAAAGACTTATTTTGGGTTATGATGGAGAAAGACAGTTGTGCTAAGCTCATGGCAAGTTATTATTATTTTTTCATCACTGGGTAAATATCAAGAATTGAAATGACCATTGATCAGATGATCTAAATATAAAACATACAGTGCATTCGGAAAGTATTCAGACACCTTGACTTTTTCCACATTTAGTTACGTTACAGCCTTATTCTAAAATAGATTTTTTTCCCCTCATCAATCTACACACAATACTCCATAATGATCAAATAGGTTTTTAGAAATTATTACTAATTTGAGTGGCCAGACGGAAGCAACTCCTCAGTAAAAGGCACATGACAGCCCGCTTGGAGTTTGTACAGAGAGATCCTTAATGTACAGAGAGATCCTTAATGAAAACCTGCTCCAGACTGGGGCAAAGGTTCACCTTCCAACAGGACAATGACCCTAAGCACACAGCCAAGACAACGCAGGAGTGCCTTTGTGACAAGTCTCTGAATGTCCTTGAGTGGCCCAGCCAGAGCCCGGACTTGAACCCGATCGAAGATCTCTAGAGAGACCTGAAAACAGCTGTGCAGCAATGCTCCCCATCCAACCTGACAGAGCTTGAGAGGATCTGCAGAGAAGAATGGGAGAAACTCCCCAAATACAGGTGTGCCAAGCTTGTAGCGTCATACTCAAGAAGACTTGAGGCTGTAATAGCTGCCAAAGGTGCTTCAACAAAGTACTGAGTAAAGGGTCTGAAATGTCTAAAAACCTGTTTTTGCTTTGTCATTATGGGGTATTGTGTATAGATTGATGAGGGGGAAAAAAACAATTTAATACATTTTAGAATAAGGCTGTAACATAACAAAATGTGGAAAAAGTCAAGGGGTCTGAATACTTTTCAAATGCACTGTATATTAGCTTCTGACATGTCTACAATGTTGGCATAGGTTCAAATCCGACCTATTGCCGTTTGACACAACCTCTATCTATCTATCTCTCCCCACTGTCATCTTCGCTCACTATCTGTCAAATTAAATGTCAAATTAAATAAATTTCCCAGAGGGCATCAGATCAAGCACCCCAGGCTGGCAATTGTTTTTCAAACTCACCTAGCTTCTAAATCCACTTTAAAGTCTTTATCCTGAACATGTAAATACTGCTTCCTGGTTTTTAATGTGACCTCAAATGTTGGCAACACTATAAACAACAACAGAAAAGACAATGACATAATGACATAATGACAGTGGACAGTAAGGAATTTAATAAAAAATTCTGCAGTTAGATTGATACTCTATAATGTTGTGTTTGAATGGATGTCTCACCATGTTTCTTCACATCAAATGAGGTGTTAAAGACCCTGTTAGGTTCACTCTGTAAATTCACCTCCAGGGTCCACGTTCCTTCCTCCCTGTAGGGAATAGAATACATTAGATTATTTACAGATTGTAAATAATTTTCCACTTCTAATTTCACATTTGCAATGTACAGTAACAAAGTAAATGGAACACTTTTTTGCCACCTTCATGGGCGCGCGCACACACACACACCCAATTGTCATACTTCAGTAAAAGTAAAGATACCTTAACCATTAGCATACAATGGTTGCACCTGGCAGAATTTAATTAACATAATAAAAACATTCCCATAAAAATCTGTCTGTTTAAGCTAGAGATATGTTTTTTTTTTGCATGGGCTGCATCTCAATCCATCGCATCCGCCAATATCGCCCTTCCACATCTGGGGTGAAAGGTGGCAGAGCTAGAGCGGTGTTTGTCAAAACATGAGACATCCCGAAAATCGGTTTTCTCACAAACACGTCTGTAGCGTCCAAAAAGGTTTGGCCTACTATGACCACTCTGTTGAAAGCTGAGACCCTCACGAACACGATGGTGTTCTCCGTTTTCACCTACGACCCCCCACAAACGTAACCTGAAGGTCCCGGTACCAGTTCAAAAATGGAAGTATATATGGAGATAGTTTAGTGCCTAAAATAAGGGGATAAATACATTTCTTATATCTCTCAGATATAGGACAGACTCTTCAGAATAAACGTCCTTTAGATTATTTTGGGGGGACTATCTGTTTTTCCATGTAGTGAATCTGTTATTCAATGTGTTTCTATTGGCTAATTTCAGTAATGCCAAATTCAATGTTGTATCTAATAATTGTTTTAGTATTTTTTTTGATACCTTAAGGGGTCTTAAAATTCCAAATTAAATCGCTAAATGATCCTTGGTATGACCATCTTAAAACCATTGCATATGTTAGCTAAGAACCCCCCCCCCCCCCCATTAGACAGGGCTTAGACTCTAGAGGGTTAATAGAAAATGACTCCGTAAAAGTGAAAGTTACCCAGTAAAATACTACTTGCGTAAAATTCTAAATGTAATTGCTAAAATATACTTAAATATCAAAAGTAAAAATAAGAATAATTTCACATTCCTTACATTAAGCAAACAAGACGGCACAATTATTATTATTTTTTTAAAATTACGGATAACCAGGGCATGAATTTCACCATTTTCCTCTCCTGCTAAGCATTCGAAATGTAACGAGTACTTTCGGGTGTCAGGGAAAATGTTTGGAGTAAAACGTACATTATTTTCTTTAGGAATGAAGTGGAGTAAAAGTAAAAGTTGTCAAAAATATAAATAGTAAAGTAAAGAACAGATACCTCAAAAAACGACTTAAGTAGCACTTTAATGTATTTTTACTTAAGTACTTTATACCACTGCACACAAACACACATACACACACAAGGTGATTACTCTTACTTGATTATATCTGGGAGCAAAAATTGGTTGGCAAAGAGTCCATTGACACTCAGACCCATTTTGGTCTGCTTGACTAAAGTGCCATCAGCACTCTGTTGAAAAGCAGAAAATAAAATAATGAACATTACAAAACATATTTTAAGAAGCACCTTAGCGCCTTATTCTTACACCAGCTGATCCGGTAAACAATATATATGTAGGCCTACAGTTACAATGAGCTCAGACCTGTTCAGAGATCAAACCAACTGTGCAGTGATATTCATGTAACACTGAACAAAAATATAAACACAACATGTAAAGTGCTGGTACAGTGCCTTGCAAAAGTATTCATCCCCCTTGGCGTTTTTCCTATTTTGTTGCATTACAACCTGTAATTTAAATTGATTTGTATTTGGATTTCATGTAATGGACATAAAGTGCCTTGTAAAAGTATTCATCCCCCTTGGCGTTTTTCCTATTTTGTTGCATTACAACCTGTAATTTAAATGGATTTTTATTTGGTTTTCATGTAATGGACATACACAAAATAGTCCTAATTGGTGAAGTGAAATTAAAAAAATTACTTGTTTCAAAGAATTCTAAAAAAATAAATAACGGAAAAGTGGCGTGTGCATATGTGTTCACCCCCTTTGCTATGAAGCCCCTAAATAAGATCTGGTGCAACCAATTACCTTCAGAAGTCACATAAATACATAATTAGTTAAATAAAGTCCACCTGTGTGCAATCTAAGTGTCACATGATCTGTCACATGATCTCAGTATATATACACCTGTTCTGAAAGGCCCCAGAGTCTGCAACACCACTAAGCAAGGGGCACCACCAAGCAAGCGGCACCATGAAGACAAAGGAGCTCTCCAAACAGATCAGGGACAAAGTTGTGGAGAAGTACAGATCAGGGTTGGGTTATAAAAAAATATCAGAAACTTTGAACATCCCACGGAGCACCATTAAATCCATTATTAAAAAATGGAAAGAATATGGCACCACAACAAACCTGCCAAGAGAGGGCCGTCCACCAAAACTCACGGACCAGGCAAGGAGGGCATTAATCAGAGAGGCAACAAAGAGACCAAAGATAACCCTGAAGGAACTGCAAAGCTCCACAGCGGAGATTGAAGTATCTGTCCATAGGACCACTTTAAGTCGTACACTCCACAGAGTTGGGCTTTACGGAAGAGTGGCCAGAAGAAAGCCATTGCTTAAAGAAAAAAAATATGTGGGAGACTCCCCAAACATATGTGGGAGACTCCCCAAACATACGGAAGAAGGTACTCTGGTCAGATGAGACTCAAATTGAGCTATTTGGCCATCAAGGAAAACGCTATGTCTGGCGCAAACCCAACACCTCTCATCACCCCAAGAACACCATCCCCACAGTGAAGCATGGTGGTGGCAGCATCATGCTGTGGGGATGTTTTTCATCGGCAGGGACTGGGAAACTGGTCAGAATTGAAGGAATGATGCATTAAATACAGGGAAATTATTGAGGGAAACCTATTTCAGTCTTCCAGAGATTTGAGACTGGGACGGAGGTTCACCTTCCAGCAGGACAATGATCCTAAGCATACTGCTAAAGTCAAAGCCCAGACCTCAATCCAATTGAGAATCTGTGGTATGACTTAAAGATTGCTGTACACCAGCGGAACCCATCCAACTTGAAGGAGCTGGAGCAGTTTTGCCTTGAAGAATGGGCAAAAATCCCAGTGGCTAGATGTGCCAAGTAATTGCTGCAAAAGGTGGCTCTACAAAGTATTGACTTTTGGGGGATGAATAGTTATGCAGGCTCAAGTTTTCTGTTTTTTTGTCTTATTTCTTGTTTGTTTCACAAGAAAAAATAGTTTGCATTTCAAAGTGGTAGGCATGTTGTGTAAATCAAATGATACAAACCCCCAAAAAATCAATTTTAATTCCAGGTTGTAAGGCAACAAAATAGGAAAAATGCCAAGAGGGGTGAATACTTTCGCAAGCCACTGTACCATGTTTCATGAGCTGAAATAAAACATCCTAGACATTTTCCATACGCACAAAAAGCGTATTTCTCTAAAATGTAGTGCAATTGGCATGCTGAATGCAGGAATGTCCACCAGAGAATTTAATGTTTCTAAACACTTCTACATGAATGTAGATGATGCTACTTTGATTACAGATAATCATGAATCAATCATGAATAGTGATGAGTAAGAAAGTTATAGAGGCATAAATATCATACCCCCTCCCCAAAAATGCTAACTTCCCCTGTTATTGTAATGGTGAGAGGTTAGCATATCTTGGGGGTATGATATTTGTGTGTTTGTAACTTTCTCACTCATTATTATTCACGATTAATTCAGGACTATCCACAATCACGGTAGCATCCACATTAATGTAGAAGTGTTTAGAAACATTCCATTCTTATTTACAAAAAAGTTACTCCAAAATGACACAATACATTATTTACCATTAATTTCTATTGGGCACAAAAGTTTCTGAAACAACCAAAACAAACAGCAATCACTATGAATATGGGACCAAATCCTAAACTTTTGACTACTTTAATAAACATAAGTGAATTTCTCCCAATACTTTTGGTCCCCTAAAATGGGGGGACTAAACGGTTCACCAATATGAGTGAAAATACCCTCACATTAAAGCTGACAGTCAGCACTTTAACCTCATAGTCAATGTATCATTTAAAACCCAAAGTGCTGGAGTACAGAGCCAAAACAAAAAAAAAATGTGTCACTGTCCCAATACTTTTAGAGCTCACTGTAAATCAGTTTAAGCCCGATCTGTGCGATGTAGTAGGGAGTTGTAGTTTCCAACAGGCCAATATTCTACATAGTTTAGAGCAGAAAATGTGGTAATTAACTACAATGCCCATAAACAATTGCGTGCCTTCTTGTCCAGTCTGTGTTAGGCAGACACAGAAGAACGCTTAATCGAGAGGGATAGAGAGCAGTTGCTTTGCGAGGTATCTCTACCTGAAAATACATGATCTAAGTGACTGAGAGTTGGTATTCAGCAGTCAAGTATGCCTTATTTACTTTGAAGAACTTCTAAAATAGTGATTTTTCAGACAGCATAGGCAGCAGCTCTACAGATATAAGATGACTTGGAATTAAATAAAGTCATCAAATAAAACAAATGTAATATACACAACTGAAATATTTTATTAAAGTACAGTACAGTAATGTCAATGAATTATGATTAATAAGTGATTAGCAGTAATGGGCAGTCACTACCATCATGGGACTTCTATTAATTATTTTATTCTGTGTTGTTACAGCATTCAACGCACATAATGCATAGTGCATTTAATTAAAAAATACTAATCTAAACAGAAATTGAAAACCGTGATTTTGTTCTATAATCAAACCTAAACCAAACAAACAACTGATTCAACATATCTTAGAAGTAACAACAGTGGCTTAGAAAATATCTCTCATAAAATAAACCTACATTCATATGATTTTTCTCTAAAATTATTCTGCTTGATCTATATTTCACTGTGCTTTTCCAAATATTTGATACCTGTAAAGTAGGCTATTGCATAATTTTATATTACCTTTAAATCAACACCAACAATTCCATTTGTTGCCTTTGCTTCAAGGTTTGTGACAAATAGCCTGTACTTGACTGAAAAGGGGAAAACACATTTTTATTATGCAACAGATGGGAGGATCATCCATAAGTAAAGTCTAAAATTAAACCTAACGTGAAGCTCTCTTGATATGATTTACCTTTGTAGGCTTCATAACTGCCTATGATTTTTTTTTAAATACATTGCACCTTAATAATATGGTGATGTATATGTTAGACATTCTGCCAATGATGATCAGCCCAATTAAAAAAACAAATATTGTACATGCAAATTGATGGAGCACATTGAAAATGAGGCACTGGATGGGTTTGGTTTTGCAACATACTTACCGTCCTCTCCAGGGTTATAGATAGGTTTATCTGTCTGGAGGAAGACATAACCTGACTGGAAGGATACCAAAACAACTGTCTCCAATAGTCTCTGATAGTCTCTGTCTCTGTCTCTGAATGTTGCTTTCAGGTACACATACTGATTGCCTCTAACATTTCTGTTGAAATCTTTTTGATCAAGCTTCCAAGAGAGAGAGCGAGAGGGAGAGAGAGAACGAGAGAATGGATGTTAGTGAAGCTTGTTCGAAAGCTTGATAATTAATAATAGCTGACAAAACATTTTTCCCAAAGGCACAATGATACAGTAGCACTATACATAAGGTACCCTTTATTATTTTTTATCTCACTATTTCAAAAGGACCAAAATGACAAGCACACATTTGTTTATAACCTAAACAATATGCAATATGAACCTCTGTTCTGGGAGCCCCAAAGGGCTAGCACTACACAGATTATTGAAATAATCAACTCAACATCAAGATATGATTATTTGAATCAGCTGTGTAGTGCTAGGGCAAAACCCCCAAATGAGCACCAGATGGGGAATTTGTATAAACACTGTAATAAGGCTTTATAACTGATTTATAAACTATATATACGATAATAGTGAACAATCTATAAACCACTTATTTACCTTTTATGAAGCCTTTATAAAGGGTGCCTTACTGTAAAGCCTTATAGGGACAATTAAAGGGATAGTTTGAGATTTTTACCCCAATCTAAATTGTTTTCTTACCTTGAGAGAAATGATGTGTTAAAAAAAATTTTTACGATAAAGACTGAACAATGCGTGGAATTTAAAAGAATAATGTATACCTCTTGTAAGTACAGAATGCAAGACCGCAGCCATGCGTAATGGATTCCTTGCATACTTGCGCCACAAAAATATGCAAAGTGTGCAGCAGCACAAATGTTAACTTGCCTAAGGTATACATTTGGCTTAGGTCTGTGTTGTGAGCATGTGAAATTCATCCAAATCAAATATCTTACTTTTAGCTGATGCAGAGTCTGTTTGTTGTCTCCAAGGATCTGTTGTTGTTCATAAAGTTTAGAACGTTTAAAAGGAAAGTCCGTTACAGTAATGGTCACCTCACCACCCACTGAGCTCTCCAGGTATATGTTCTCCTCACTGCCAACCCGAAGGATGTTTGGGGCCACCATTACATACCTGCAACAACAAACGGACACATCACCAAAATAGTACCCTTAGTCTATAATGTAGGGGGGTTTAAAATAAAATATAAAAACAGAAAAATATTTGCGACTTATCAATGAACATTTTGACAGATGTCAATTCATGATTTTTTTTTATATGGTGATAATTGCAAACCAATGATCAGTTCACCATTGCTATATGGTGAACTATTAAGGCATTGGTTGAAGCGCAGTGTTCAAATCTCCCTACCATCATATCAAAGCCAATATGACACCAATCTCGATGACAATTCGTAAATCAACTTGATTGGAGATGCACAACACACTCCTCGCATTTCGTCAAGTGCCATCCGTCCGTTACCATCCGTCCGTTCCTTAGCATTAGGGTTGTCAGACAATTTTTTGCCCAGAACTAGCTCAATATCTAGCCTAGGCGTCGGATAAGAACGAGACTACAGCATCCATAAAGTGACCATTAGACTTGCCACCTTTCGGACTGAATACGTTTGTAGGGGCAACAGTTTTGATTACATTTCTAATTTATCTCTCTCATTTTCGTCTGTTTTTGTCTGTTAAGAACCAACGATGTGCTACCTTTTTGTAGCATTTCTGACAATGCTAACGTCTTTTCAGCCGAATCTCAGAGTTCTAACACCGGGTCGGTTGCTTGGCAACATCACAGCTGCTTGCACCATGCTGCCAGTCTTAAGAAGTGTTTGCGAACAAACCTAGACTACTATATATAGCTAGCTATATGGTGGTATTCAAACTGAGGTTAATCAATAAATACAAGCAGATATTTTAATTAGCTAGGTAGCTAACTAGCGAACGTTAGCTTGCTTGTAGAAAGTCTAGATCGAGATCGGTGTGGAAGAACTTGACTGACCTGCACAGAGCTCTGACCTCAGCCCCATTGAACACCTTTGGGATGAATTGGAATGCTGACTGCGAGCCAGGCCTAATCGCCCAACATCAGTGCCGACCTCACTAATGCTCTTGTGGCTAAATGAAAGCAAGTCCCTGCAGCAATGTTCCAACATCCAGTGGAAAGCCTTCCCAGAAGAGTGGAGGCTGTTATAGCAGCAAAGGGGGGACCAACTCCATATGAATGCCCATGATTTTGGAATGAGATGTTCAACGACACTACACTTTTGGTCATGTAGTGTGTATATACACAGGTATACATCATTTTAATAACAAGACACTGTAAAGTCCATTATTCCTCTGAAGAGTATGAATTAGGCTGTTTGAGAAGGTTTGAATCATAAGGAACATGCTTACACATAGCTTGAAGTAAAATACCAACATAGCTACTGTAGAAAGTCAAAGCTGTGTGCTGGAAAACCTTGGTAGAGCATGGGTGGAATAGGCATTGGGGTGCTCATGTAAATTTGATTAATTTTTTGGCTTCAGACCAATGCCTATTCTCACTTAAAACATAGTTTTATTTGTTATATATTATAGTTATGATCTTATACATTTCTAAGTCATCGTGTAACCATATACCCGAGAGACAAAACATGGTCAAGAGACTTACGTTTGACCCCGAGATGAACAGCAGAGGGAGAGGATGAGAAGGAGAGCTGCAATGAGCTTTGAACACCCCATATTGTCAGCAGTGTAACCACTGTCCAGATGAAGTGACTAGTCCCCTCTAATGCTACTCTAATGTACTCAGTCAGTATTAATTTTTAACTGGGAGTGAGGACCTAAGCCATGACTGTTTACCATGCCAAGGGGACATTGACCTGGACCAGACTGAGACAGACAGGCAGACAGAAAGAAAGAAACATGTACCCACAATTTTCAACAGTTGCAAAAAAAAATAATACGTGTCCAACCACGTACTGCCAAAATCACTGTTGATAGTGAAAAAGTACCATCCCTAATCCAAATCCCAAAAATTATGCAGCAGCAGCTCTCTCTCTCTCAATTCAATTTCAATTCAATTCAATTTAAGGGCTTTATTGGCATGGGAGACGGATGTTAACATTGCCAAAGCAAGTAAAGTAGATAGTAAACAAAAGTGAAATTAACACTAAATATTAACAGGAAACATTACACTCAGAAGTTCCAAAAATAATAAAGACATTCTGCCACTGTGTACTCTCTGTTTTGGGCCAAATAGCATCTCTCTCTCTCTCGCTCTCTCTCTCACACACACACACACACACACACACACACACACAGTAAAAGTAGTTTTGTATCCCGATAAACAGTTTATTTGACAACATAACAATTATATTTACAGGATAAGGCATTTTTGTAAATGTTGCAATGTGGGTTTCACTAAGTTGGGAAAGTTGAGTACAGTGTCATGATGTACTATGACACACAAGTATTTATTCAATTTCCACAGTAGTCTACATGATAAGATGCTTGTAAAACACATAAGATAGTTGTCACAATTGTCATAAATATTTATTGGAATACTTACTTGGGTTAAATATTACAAGGACATGCCTCTTACCGTAAAACTATCTTTTGGTTCTTGGCCAAAGTAAAGTCCAAAGGCAATCGTTGGTTTTTATACATAATCAACTACCCAACGGGTCAAAGACGTCAGATTTTCATTAGATATTTGACTGAGCTGTCAACAAGCCAAATCCTAATGTTGATTATCAGTAAAAATTGAAACGGTTGCAGAAATTCACTTAATATTCCTACAATACACATACAAACAAAATCACAGACTGAAAATAATTCACAACTTTTCACATTTCACAACTTCTGCATGGTCTAAATGATATTTGAATTTTTATATACACCAACTGTTTGTATTAGGTACAGTGCGGAAAAAAAGTATTTAGTCAGCCACCAATTGTGCAAGTTCTCCCACTTAAAAAGATGAGAGAGGCCTGTAATTTTCATCATAGGTACACGTCAACTATGACAGACAAATTGCGATTTTTTTTCTCCAGAAAATCACATTGTAGGATTTTTAATGAATTTATTTGCAAATTATGGTGGAAAATAAGTATTTGGTCACCTACAAACAAACAAGATTTCTGGCTCTCACAGACCTGTAACTTCTTCTTTAAGAGGCTCCTCTGTCCTCCACTCGTTACCTGTATTAATGGCACCTGTTTGAACTTGTTATCAGTATAAAAGACACCTGTCCACAACCTCAAACAGTCACACTCCACAAACTCCACTATGGCCAAGACCAAAGAGCTGTCAAAGGACACCAGAAACAAAATTGTAGACTTGCACCAGGCTGGGAAGACTGAATCTGCAATAGGTAAGCAGCTTGGTTTGAAGAAATCAACTGTGGGAGCAATTATTAGGAAATGGAAGACATACAAGACCACTGATAATCTCCCTCGATCTGGGGCTCCACGCAAGATCTCACCCCGTGGGGTCAAAATGATCACAAGAACAGTGAGCAAAAATCTCAGAACCACACGGGGGGACCTAGTGAATGACCTGCAGAGAGCTGGGACCAAAGTAACAAAGCCTACCATCAGTAACACACTACACCGCCAGGGACTCAAATCCTGCAGTGCAAGACGTGTCCCCCTGCTTAAGCCAGTACATGTCCAGGCCCGTCTGAAGTTTGCTAGAGTGCATTTGGATGATCCAGAAGAGGATTGGGAGAATGTCATATGGTCAGATGAAACCAAAATATAACTTTTTGGTCAAAACTCAACTCGTCGTGTTTGGAGGACAAAGAATGCTGAGTTGCATCCAAAGAACACCATACCTACTGTGAAGCATGGGGGTGGAAACATCATGCTTTGGGGCTGTTTTTCTGCAAAGGGACCAGGACAACTGATCCGTGTAAAGGAAAGAATGAATGGGGCCATGTATCGTGAGATTTTGAGTGAAAACCTCCTTCCATCAGCAAGGGCATTGAAGATGAAACGTGGCTGGGTCTTTCAGCATGACAATGATCCCAAACACACCGCCCGGGCAACGAAGGAGTGGCTTTGCCAGTCTCCAGATCTCAACCCCATAGAAAATCTTTGGAGGGAGTTGAAAGTCCGTGTTGCCCAGCGACAGCCCCAAAACATCACTGCTCTAGAGGAGATCTGCATGGAGGAATGGGCCAAAATACCAGCAACAGTGTGTGAAAACCTTGTGAAGACTTACAGAAAACGTTTGACCTGTGTCATTGCCAACAAAGGGTATATAACAAAGTATTGAGAAACTTTTGTTATTGACCAAATACTTATTTTCCACCATAATTTGCAAATAAATTCATTAAAAATCCTACAATGTGATTTTCTGGATTTTTTTTCTCATTTTGTCTGTCATAGTTGACGTGTACCTATGATGAAAATTACAGGCCTCTCTCATCTTTTTAACATTTACATTGACATTTACGTCATTTAGCAGACGCTCTTATCCAGAGCGACTTACAAATTGGTGCATTCACATTATAGCCAGTGGGATAACCACTTTACAATATGTTTTTTTTATTTTTTATTTTTTTTTGGGGGGGGGGGGGGGTTAGAAGGATTACTTTATCCTATCCCAGGTGTTCCTTAAAGAGGTGGGGTTTCAAATGTCTCCGGAAGGTGGTGAGTGACTCCGCTGTCCTGGCGTCGTGAGGGAGCTTGTTCCATCATTGGGGTGCCAGAGCAGCGAACAGTTTTGACTGGGCTGAGCGGGAACTGTGCTTCAGCAGAGGTAGGGGAGCCAGCAGGCCAGAGGTGGATGAACGCAATGCCCTCGCTTGCGTGTAGGGACTGATCAGAGCCTGAAGGTACGGAGGTGCCGTTCCCCTCACAGCTCCGTAGGCAAGCACCATGGTATTGTAGCAGATGCGAGCTTCAACTGGAAGCCAGTGTAGTGTGCGGAGGAGCGGGGTGACGTGAGAGAATTTGGGAAGGTTGAACACCAGACGGGCTGCAGCATTCTGGATGAGTTGTAGGGGTTTAATGGCACAGGCAGGGAGCCCAGCCAACAGCGAGTTGCAGTAATCCAGACGGGAGATGACAAGTGCCTGGATTAGGACCTGTGCCACTTCCTGTGTAAGGCAGGGTCGTACTCTCCGAATGTTGTAGAGCATGAACCTACAGGATCGGGTCACCGCCTTGATGTTAGCGGAGAACGACAGGGTGTTGTCCAGGGTCACGCCAAGGCTCTTCGCACTCTGGGAGGAGGACACAACGGAGTTGTCAACCGTGATGGCGAGATCATGGAACGGGCAGTCCTTCCCCGGGAGGAAGAGCAGCTCCGTCTTGCCAAGGCTCAGCTTGAGGTGGTGATCCGTCATCCATACTGATATGTCTGCCAGACATGCAGAGATGCGATTCGCCACCTGGTTATCAGAAGGGGGAAAGGAGAAGATTAGTTGTGTGTCGTCTGCGTAGCAATGATAGGAGAGGCCATGTGAGGATATGACAGAGCCAAGTGACTTGGTGTATAGCGAGAATAGGAGAGGGCCTAGAACTGAGCCCTGGGAGACACCAGTGGTGAGAGCACGTGGTGCGGAGACAGCTTCTCGCCACGCCACTTGGTAGGAGCAACCGGTCAGGTAGGACGCAATCCAAGAGTGAGCCGCGCTGGAGATGCCCAGCTCGGAGAGGGTGGAGAGGAGGATCTGATGGTTCACAGTATCAAAGGCAGCAGACAGGTCTAGAAGGATAAGAGCAGAGGAGAGAGAGTTAGCTTTAGCAGTGCGGAGAGCCTCCGTGACACAGAGAAGAGCAGTCTCAGTTGAATGACCAGTCTTGAAACCTGACTGGTTTGGTTCAAGAAGGTCATTCTGAGAGAGATAGCAAGAGAGTTGGCTAAAGACGGCACGCTCAATAGTTTTGGAGAGAAAAGAAAGAAGGGATACTGGTTTGTAGTTGTTGACATCAGAGTGTTGGTTTTTTGAGAAGGGGTGCAACTCTCGCTCTCTTGAAGACGGAAGGGACATAGCCCAAGGATGAGTTGATCAGCGAGGTGAGGTAAGGGAGAAGGTCACCGGAGATGGTCTGGAGAAGAGAGGAGGGGATAGGGTCAAGCGGGCAGGTTGTTGGGCGGCCGGCCGTCACAAGTCGCAAGATTTTATCTGGAGAGAGAGGGGAGAAAGAAGTCAAAGCATAGGGTAGGGCAGTGTGAGCAGGACCAGCAGTGTCATTTGACTTAAACGAGGATCGGATGTCGTCAACCTTCTTTTCAAAATGGTTGACGAAGTCATCCACAGAGAGGGGGGGGGGGGGAGGATTCAGCAGGGAGGAGAAGGTGGCAAAGAGCTTCCTGGGGTTAGAGGCAGATGCTTGGAATTTAGAGTGGTAGAAAGTGGCCTTAGCGGCAGAAACAGATGAAGAAAATGTAGAGAAGAGGGAGTGAAAAGATGGCAGTTCCGCAGGGAGTCTAGTTTTCCTCCATTTCCGCTCGGCTGCCCGGAGCCCTGTTCTGTGAGCTCGCAATGAGTCATCAAGCCACGGAGCTGGAGGGGAGGACCGAGCCGGCCGGGAGGATAGGGGACATAGAGAGTCAAAGGATGCAGAAAGGGAGGAGAGGAGGGTTGAGGAGGCAGAATCAGGAGATTGGAGGGAGAAGGATTGAGCAGAGGGAAGAGATGATAGGATGGAAGAGGAGAGAGTAGCGGGAGAGAGAGAGCGAAGGTTGCGACGGCGCATTACCATCTGAGTAGGGGCAGAGTGAGTAGTGTTGGAGGAGAGCGAGAGAGAAAAGGATACAAAGTAGTGGTCGGAGACATGGAGGGGAGTTGCAGTGAGATTAGAAGAACAGCATCTAGTAAAGATGAGGTCAAGCGTATTGCCTGCCTTGTGAGTAGGGGGGGATGGTGAGAGGGTGAGG